CTTCTTTCTTCTGGGATTTTGACCTCTCAAGTTTGCTTCTCTTGACCAAAAACTCAGTGTGTTTCTCCATCCCTCAGCAACAGCTCCCTGCCTGGGAAGACTCCAGATTCCCAGCCTCTTGCCCCGTGCCCAGAATGCAAATGCATTTAGGGAGAAAGTGCTGTGGCGTGTTGGAATGTCTCCTCTCCCAGCAGCCCCCATCTCTGGAATCTTGGCCTGCTAGTCCAAGTGGCTTGCGTAGCTCTTTGATTCACATTGTGAGATTTTACCCAGCTTCTCTAGCCAGACACAGTGGGAGGGAGCATGGCTGTGTCTCCAGCCCTTCTGCCTAGAAGGGCTCTGCTTTCCATACTCTGCGCTCACACCCACTGTCCACCCTGGAGCCATAGCATAGTGTCCATGTGTTCTTGTAATCCTCTCACAGGTGAGGTTCTAGCTCTTTTTAAATATGGGAGAGCCAGTTGCTCCAATGCCAGTCTCACCCAGTTACCTGAAATGCTGCCTTATCATCCATTAGTTGTGTCTGTCTGTCCGCCTGTGTGGTCATGCTTCATCTTTTCTGTTGGTTTCTATTCATCTGTCATTGCTGGACTTTGGAAGTCATGACAGCTTTATAGTAAGTCTGATAGCTGGTAGGGTATGTTCTTTGTTCTTATTTTTCACTGGTCTCTTTGGAACTCTTGCATAATTCCACTGAAAATCCTGTTGGAATATTTTGCTTACTGGACTAGCACTGAATTAAAATATCTAAATTTGGGGAGAACCGAAAATTGTGCAATATTGAATTGAACATCTGCTTTCATAAATATTTTCTTTATTCCTAATTATTTCCTATTTCAGCACTGAGCATTGCTCACTCAACAGATATAGCCTTTTTTTTTTTTTTTGAAGACACGAAGGCATGTTGCTAAATGCTAGAAATCTCATTTCAATTTACATTCACACCAGGAATTCATGACCTTGCTCTTGCCCTTCCCGCCCAGCTGGAATAGCCTAATACTTTTCTCCATCTGGAGTGCGGGGAGATTTCGCTGCCTAAGGAAATGCAGATTCCCAGGGAGCCACGTCCCTCCAGTCCCCTCCTGGGTGGCCGTATTTGGAGGTGAGAGGGTGAAACTGTTAAAAAAAACCCTTAACTTACAATGTGTGGGTAAGGGTGTGTGCCATGGCTGCAGGGGCTCTGGCATGCGGCCGGTGTGACTGCAGCCCCCAGTTTTGCCCCCACCCACCTGGGCTTTGGCTCACGTCTTACACTTGTTGGCCCTCAGTGGCCGGCTGCTCTGGGGGCATCCCTCTCTCCCTGCGGCCTTTGGATGGCTGTGCTTTCCCATGGGGTGGTTCTTTTTTTTTTTTTTTTTTTTTTAAGATTTATTTATGTATTTATTAGACAGAGATCACAAGTAGGCAGAAAGACAGGCAGAGAGAGAGGAGGAAGCAGGCTCCCTGCTGAACAGAGAGCCCCACGGGGTGGTTCTGCTCCACATCTAGCCTGTGCTGGGGGTCCCGACCCTGGGTGGGGACTGGGAGTTTAAAGCCTGAAGTCTGCATTGATCCCAGCCCCTGTGGGGCTCCCTCCATCTGCAAAGAGAGACAGTCCCCAGGATCTTTGTCAGGATCCTTCTGCTCTTGAGAGTCTCAAGCCCTCTCCCCTAAGCCTTTGCTCTCCTTGGATGCCTCTAGTGATAGGGGTTCGCAGCTGAATGGGCACCTCGGTTCATTTTAGGTGGCAGCTGGTTTTCATGTCAGGCTGAGTTCTGTTTTCTGGAGCTCCTGGCCATTTCTGGATGGCCCACATCTCTCTGCCTGAGCTTGTCCTCCTCCATGTTCCCAGGGGCCCTGTCCTGCAAGCCCCCAAGCCCCCTTGGGTGGCCGGCTACAACATCAGGCTAGCAGCCCGTTGGAGGCCTGTGGGAAAGGGCTTTCAGAGTGGCCAGAGCAGCACCGTAATTCCGCAGGGAGCTTTTGCTGGCTTTCCTCAGGGTCCCGGGCCCTGAGAGGTGAAATCGCTTTGGGGTCATCAAATGGCCTCAACCCTGTCATTTCACAGATGGGTAAACCAAGGCTCAGGGGTTAAGTCACACGGTGGAGACAAAGGCAGGAACGGGACTGGGTCCCTGGTCCCTGGCTTGCACCTCCTCCACATGAGGTTGATGCCAGGAATGCCCCTGGTGGCTGCAGCCCGAGTTGGGAGCTGTGGGACAGGGTACTGAAATGCAGCGTCTGTCCACTTGCTTAGGACTGTCTGTCCCATCGTTTGGATTTGCTGAGCGAACCATTTCCTTCCCTGCTCATCTGGACACCAGGTTATTGCTGGATCCAGCTGCCAGTGAGAGCCCCAGGATGTAGGGTATGGGAGGACATTCTGGAACCCTGTTCTATTTGAAAACACCCTTGACAGGTTTAAAGGCCCATCCTATGTCAAGGTCAGGCTTTTGGGGGGATGATCTCCATCCCATGACTGCTGTCCCCACTGCTGGTGGAAACCCACACACCGCTCGTTCCCACAGGGGGATGGAGATTGGTGTGTCCACCAGGTCCCTGGCCAGTGGGCTGGGCCAGGGCGCAGGAGCGCAAGTCAGAGGATGGTGGGCTTCTGTGGCTCCCGCTGAGCACACCTGGCACAGCCCCCAGTGCTGGGCTGCCCGACCCTCTTCATCCTGGGCCTCAGGGTCTGGACGTCGCCTCGTTGTGGTGGGGAGACCACAGGGCCCCAGGTGCTCTGAAGAGGTCCGACCTCAGAGATGTGTTTGGCAGCATTTTTCTGTGGAAACAGACGCTTGAAGGTGGTTCTGTTCCTGGGACCCCCTAGAAGTTTCCCTGGGAAGGCAAAGCTGGACTCTGGCCCTGCCGGGACCTGTGCCTGTCCACTGATCCCAGCTGCTGGCCTCACAGTGGCCATGGAGCCTTGGCGTGGAGTCAGAAGGAGAAGGACTGGGTCGGGGGCCAGGTAAGGGGCCGTGTCGCATCTCCCTGTCAGCCACCTGCCAGAGAGGGCGGCTCAGCCTCAGCCTCAGGAGACTCACCCGTGTATCATCAGGTCTTCAGCAGCTCTAGCTTTGGTACAAACAAGATTTTTCTGTCGCTTTGTGGTTCCTCTGAATATTTGCCTGCCCGCCAGGTGGGGCAGGAGGCTCTGCGTTGCCCCAGCACCATGGGACTGTCCCCCAATGCCTGTTACTATACTCCTGCCCACAGGGACACTTGGCCCTGCCTTGGAGCCCGGGGCAGCTCTGTGCCGTGCCTCCCTCCCTGACCCTCCCTGGCCTCCCCAGGGTCCCTCGGGCTGCTTCCCTTCCCTGCCATCCCGCACGCCCCAGCAGAGACCCTCACCATTCCCCATGCTCCAGCGGACCCCCACTCCGCCATCCCCAATGCCCCAGCAGAGACCCCCACCATTCCCCACGCTCCAGCAAAGACTGTCCCCCCACCACTGTCCCCACTGCTCCTCAGCAGTTTGGATGTGTTTCTCTATAATCTCTGGGGTCTGTGTGAGATGCCCATGCCATTCCCATTCTCCACTGTTTGTGGTCTGTCATTCTCTCTGGAAGCTTCCGGAATCTTCCCGTTAGCCTCAGTTTGCTTGGTGTGTGACTTTCTCCTGCCGGCTGGGTGAGTGGTGAGTGCTTGAGTTTGGAGACTCACCACTGGTGGTCCTGGGAGGTTTCCTTGAGTTCTCTCTCAGTGGCTCCTTTTCTCTGATCCTCAAATCTTATCTCTTCCCTTTCATGGAAAATTACTTAATTTCAACCTTTTGGTTTACTTTCAAAGTTTGTGGTTTCATATTTTTAATTTCCAAAAACTCTCATATTCATTAGATAGCCCTTTTGAAAATAGCATTCTCCACCCATTCGTGGGCATAGCAATTTTTCTCTCTGAGAATATTAATTATAAGGAATTTAGAAAATACTTTTCTTCTCTTTCCTGCACTGTTCCTTGCTGCTTGCTCCTTTCCTGGTGGTTTCAGCGTCTATATTTCTTGCTGGAGGGTGTGGTCCTGGCAGGTCCCTCCAGCCATGAACTCCGCACGGGGATCTCAGGGCTAGGCATCTTGGGGGTGCCTCAACCCTGTCCCTTCAGCAGGTGCTCCATGCCCACCCTCATCTGGGCCTCGGGTCCCCAGGCTGGGCAGGGCTCTCTCCTGCCAGGTGGTGGGGGAGGTCCAAGCCCTGGATGGCCACAGGGGAGGGTGGGGCCCTGGGGGTCTTCCCTAGTCTGCCAGGGCCTCTGAACCACGATTCCACAGACTGGTGGTCTAGAGAAGAGAGACATATTGTCTCCCAGTCTGGAGGCCGAAAGTCAGAGGTCAGGTGTGGACAGGGTGGCTTCCTTCTGGGCTTTGTCTGCTGTCACCTTAGCCATTCCTTGGCTTGTAGAAGCATCGCCCGGATCTTTGCCTCTGTCTTCACCTGACACTGTCCTGGTGTGTGTCTGTCCAGTTGTTCTCTTTCGTAAGGACTCCATGTTGACTCTGGGGCTTACCAGACTCTTGCGTGACCTCATCTTTACCAGTCACATCTGCAAGGACCCCATCTCCAAATAAGGTCACATTCTGAGGTCCTGGGGTTTAGGACTTCAATACAGGGATTTTGAGGGGACAGAATTCAACCCATGGGAGGTTTAATGCTGGCTTTCCACCAACACCCATTTTTGGTCCCACCCGGACGCCACTTTCAGAGGCACCAGGAGCCTTTCTGGGTCCCACTGAGTGCATTGGCTTGTTTCTTGTTAGGCTCCGGATTTCCAGGCTTGCTAAGCCAGGCTGTATTTGTGGTGTTTCTCATCCGTAGCCACCCCCACCGCAGCCCCCCGTCCCTCTGGATTGGCACCACACGCAAGCCTCCTTTAGCGGGATTTTGGAAGGGAGAAGTTTGCCGGCCCCCAGAAGTAGCTGTTCTGCCTTTCTGGGTATTGTTTCTAATTCATGTCTCCCTTTTTCTCAAGGTCTCCACGCTCACTTGGGCTCCCAGCACTGCTAAGGGTGACCCACAAAGGCCGGCACGATGGCCGGGGCCTCGGTGAAGGTGGCGGTACGCGTCCGCCCCTTCAATTCCCGGGAGATGAGCCGAGACTCCAAGTGCATCATCCAGATGTCCGGAAGCACCACCAGTGAGTACTGGTCATGGGTGGCCACAGGCGGTTCGTCACTGGGACCTGGGCACCCCCCCACCCCGGCTCCCTCATCGACACATGGGGTACCGATTCTCTGAGCTGGTGGCAACAGATGACCACCAGTGGGGGTGGGTGGTGGCTCCTACAACAGTTCTGAAGGCCAGTGTCTAAAGTCAAGGTATTGACAGGGTCTTGCTGCCTCTGACCTTCTAGACCAGACTCCTTCCTGCCTCCTGCGGCTCCAGCTGGTTCAGCTGTCTAGGCCTGTGGCCTGCAGTGGCCGGTGGCCTTCACAGGTGGAGGGCGGGTGGGCTAGGTGGGTGCTGGGCCCTCAGGAGGACACTTGCTGTCAGCACTGGGCCTTGTGGGTAGAGTGGACGGTCACTGAAACCAGTCCTCCACAGTATGTGACTGAAGTAGCATTTAAGTAATGACTTGAAACGCAAAAAGAGAACAGAATGCTGATCCCCGGATGTAGGATCTACCCTGATCTGGTGTGATCTCACTGTGACAGCTAATTCCAACTCCAAAGACCCCGTTTCCAAAGAAGGTCACCTTCTGAGGCTCAGGATAACATGAATTGGGGGCCCACTTCCCACCAGCACATGAGGTTCTGGATCTCATCTCGCTTCAGCTGCTCCCCCACTTATACATACATATGTCAGTTCATTCCAGCCTGTTCTTTTCCCTTGTTTATGACCGTAAGTCGTCTCAAACATTCCTGAGGAGAGGAGGCCTGCAGTCCCCATGCTAACAGGTGGGAGTTAGGGAGGGAATGACAGTGTGGTGCTCAGGAAGGCAGGTGGGCCCTGACAGCTTCGTTAGCACACAGGCTGCTGGAGGGAAACAGCACCCACTCCCTGCCTGGCCTTTGCTCCCTGGCCTTGACCTTGTGGATCCTGTTGTCCCCTCATGCAGACGAGTGGACAGATTCTTCCAACCCAAGCAGAACCCAGGCCGAGAAGTGGAGCGTGGCCAGACCCTGGGAGACCCTCCTGCCCCCCATCCACCTTTGCTTCTAACACAGAAGTTGGGGGGACTTGTTTTGGTCCCATGAAAACTGAGGCAGTGTCTGGGTTATGTCTCCAGCTGACTAACAGTTTGCCCCCAGGCCTGTGACTTAGAACGAGAATTCCGGGCTCAGCCAAGTGGTTTGACCCTGGTGTCCCTCGAGCAGTGACTGCGACTGTCACTGTAGGCTCAGGGGCCACAAGCCGTACCGTGTGCTGGCTGTCATTTCCCCCAGAGGCTGTGGGATGGATGGCAGGCCTCACCCTCCACACACCCATACTCCACCAGCTCTCCAGGTGTTTAGGGAGGGGCTGGCCAAGGGGAGAGGCACTCAGAGAGGAGGGCAGCTGCCTCCCTAGGCCTATTTAGGGGGTGAGGATTCAGGGGTCTTTAGAATGTTCTGGGTACCTTAGGCTCTGTGGGAAGGTGTGGGGTCAGGGAGATGGTCTTTTCAGACTCCTTCATCCCGGGTGGGCAGGTTGTGGAGGTCCTGCTCAGAGCTCGCTCAGGGGCCACTGGGCACAGTGTGGCCATGTGCATCTGAGGTTTTGTCACAGTGCTTAGGAATGGTGTTGCCTCCACTGGGTCCTTGGAAGCAGACCCTGATGTGAGGATTTGGGTGCCAAAGGTTTATTGAGGAGGTGGTCTCAAGCTATGCGGGGAGAGAATGTGGACATGGGGAGAAGCTGTGGAGGATGCTGATGCATGGGTGGCCGCCCCAGACAGCAGGTTTGGGTCACTGGGGACCCTCTGGCATAGAGAATGTATCTCCGCGTTGTCCTCCCTGAGGCTGGCTTCTTGTCCAGCATCTTCCCCAGCATGAGCCGAGGGTCAGTCCAGGGGCTTGGTTTCTTTATGACCTGAGCAGGTGCTCAGGGGGTGTGACTCATGCCTAAAGGTTGGAAGCCAAGGGCTGCACAGGAACTGTGAACTCTGGGTAGGACCCACGGCATCCTGGGTGAGAACAGTGACCCCTGGATACAAACCATGACCTCGGGTGAGAACTATTACCCCAGGTTGGAACTGTGACCCCTAGTGAGAAACATGACCTCTGATGGGAAATATGACTACTGGTGGGAACTGCAACTCCTTATGGGAACTGCAACCTCTGGTGGGAACTGTGACCCCTGGTTGGAGCCATGACCTCTGGTGGGAACTGTGACCTCTGGTGGGATTTGTGATCTCTTGTGGGAACTGTGACCCGCTGGTGGGAACTGTGACCTCTGATGGGATTTATGATCTCTGGTGGGAATTGTGACCCCTGGTGAGAACCATGACCTCTGGTGGGAACTGTTACCTGTGGTGGGAACTGTGACCCCTGGTGGGAACTGTGACCTCTGGTGAGAAGTGACCCCAGGCTAGGAACCATGACCTTTGCTGGGAGCTGTGACCCTGGGTGGGCAGAGGACATGTGCCCAAGGAGCCGACAGGATCTGCCACGTCACTGTCAGATGATCCCAGACGTCAAGAATGATGGTGGGGACACTTGTTCCCTCCTCGGCCAGGCCCTGGCAGCACCACCCTCACCTCAGACAGTAGCTGAGAGTCCGGGCAGGAGTGGCTCACAGGTGACCACACCCTCTGGGAGCTGGCAGGATATAGAACAACACATCAGAGTCAGACCCGTCTCCCATGGAGCTTGGGAGTGGTCTCAGATAGGGTGGGACAGGTGCCAGGGAAGCAGACAGCTGGAGGAGATGATGGGCTGTGGGGTTGAAAGCTCTGACTGGCCTCTGGCCCGAAAGACAGAGATGCAGAGACACAGACAGACAGAGAGGAAAGAAATGTCAGAAGAATGGATAATTGAGACAGTCATTCGGAAAGCTGTATTCATCTGGGAGAAATCAGAGCAGTGATGGTACTGGTAGAAAGTGCTAGAAGCCGTGTCAGAAGAGTGGGTGAAGGCTGGGGGAGCCCAGAGGAGAGGGATGCCCTCCATCCCTTGGTGCAGGAAAGCTTATCTGTGGAATGGGGTCAGCGGCCAGGATGGGTTTTCTTCCTGGCGACGCTGGGGCACAGTTGTGGGGGGGTCCCCCGAGCCAGGCTGAGGCGGGAGTGCATGGAGCTGTTTGGGCGGCAGCTCACAGCCACGTTTTCAGTGTAGGTGGGGCCCGTGAGAAGGGGTGGGGATGGTGCTCTGTGTGGAGGCTATGCAAGGCCTTAGGGCCAGCTCGTGTTTTCAGCAGGGAGCACTTGCCCAGCAATATGGAGACGCCGGGGAGTGGACCGCGTGGCTGCTCTGGCCACGCACTGGCTCGTCAGGGCCCCGTGCCAGGCCGTGAGTGTCAGGGTGGGAGGCCATCCAGCCTTCCCCGCTCTACGACACAATTCTTGGATCTCAGATCCAGGTGCTCACAGGAGATGCCGGGTCCCTGAATGGGCCGCTCGAAGCTCCGTGCTGACACATACACATTCGAAACGTTCACGGCTAAACATCCTTTGTCCTCCTGTGTTTATCACCTGAATGAACAATGCCCTTCCCTTGAATGAGCCAAATCTGCTGGTCTTGTGAGCCAGGCAAACTGCATGGCAAACGCTTCCGTCCACCCCTCGGCAGGCCAGTGGAGGTTACTGAGGGGTGCAGACGTCCTGTGTGTCTCCCCACGTTCCCACTGTGCAAGACAGCAGACGTGGGGACATCTGGCAGGGTTTCCCGTCTTCTGAGTCCTTCTGGTCCCACAGAGGAAGGCTCTGGGTGGGGATCTTTCTGCCCCTGCACCGCTGAGGCCCTGTAGGCAAGGCTGGACCTGCGTCTCCTGCCTTCTGTGTCCCCCATGGGCCAGCCGACACCCCAAGGCCCTCTGCACCGGGGGGGAGTCCGTTTCCGGGGACAGATGAACTGAGACAGAAGTGATTTTGCCAAGGTGTCCATAGGTTTGGTTCCCTCTGAGACTCTGAGAGAATGTGCTCCTGACCTGTCTCCTGCTTGTGGCAGCTGCAACAGGCCTGGGCTGGCCTCTGTCCTCACGGGGGCTTTTCCCTGTGCATGTCTGTCTGTCTGTCTCTGGTGGACCCTACTTCTTATATACAGACCGCCCTAATCGGCATGATCTCATCATTACTAATCTCATCTGCCAGGACTGTATTTCCAAAGAAGGTCACGTGCTGAGGTTCCCAGTGGATGTGAACTTGGGGAGGACACTCCTTACCCAGGACAGTGCCTCTGGAGCAGAGAGGACAGACCAAGGCCACAGGGCCAATACATCCAGGGCCTGCCCCCAGCCCAGCCAGGCTCCCCAGGCCCATGCTCAGCCTGGCCTTCCTGCCTCCAGCCCTCCTCCTGGATCCTGGCAAGCTGGTCCCAGTGTGATTTCAGACAGTGACCACCATTCTGGAACATTCCAGACCCTTCTCCTCTGCTCTAGGGGTCTTTCTCCCAAAGGCCCTTGTTAATCAGCAGCCCTCTGCACAGATCCAGGTGTTGCAAACGCCTAACTCATCTAAGCCTCCATTTGCTGTCACTGTTCTAGAATGTTCTAGGCTCCAGATAGAGTAAGCCTGGGAATGGAAGGCCACAGAAGGGAGCTCAGCAGTGGCACCACTGCAGGACTGTTCACGGTGTCCACAGAGGAGCCCTGGAGGCCGGGAGCTGGGGCACCAGCCTCAGCCAAGAGGGCAGGTGCCTGTCTCTCCTGCCAGCCCCATCCAGGGAGGGCTACACAGCCTGGAGCCATCTTCTCCCCTGGAATTGCTCCCTTAGAATTCTTCTCCCTTAGAATTGCAGTGGGTGTCCTGCTCACAGAGTCGCAGTGGTGGCTGTGTGTGTTGTCCCCGTCATCTGGCATGGATGAGGACAGTTCTCGAGGCATGGATGGGGAGACCAAGGCTCTGTGATGTGTGTCATCATGTGTGGCTGCATGGGAAGAGCAGGGTGGACATGAGGCCCCTTCAGGTCATCAGTAAACATTTTCTGGGCACGGGCCTTAGGAGGCTGCCCTCTGGAACCCCAGGGCAGCAGGACTGAGGCTCTTAGTGCCCTTGGGTGACACACCAGTGGGGAGGCAGGCAATGCACACATCAGTGCCCGATGGAGCCGGGCCAGCAGGGACAAAGGCAGTGTCTTGCAACATTAAGAAGGGGTACAGTGACGGGGGGGCAGGGGGGGCGGGAGCTGGGAGCCACATCTGGTGGAGGGAGCTGTCCCAGTGGGTCGGGAGAGGGGAGGAGGTGAGCGCTCCTGTGCACGAGGGATGCTGGCGCTGAGGGGTTGGACTCTGTTCCCTGAGAGCCCAGTAGTGTTCTGGTCTGCTGCAGCGGGCCGTCTCCCCAGTCCTGTGAGTGTGCCACGGTGGGCTGCTAGTAAACCAGCTCGCCCGTGCATGGGCTTACATGAATACAGATGCACACACACACTCTTGCGTGTGCACACACATGCGCAACATGCTCTCACACTCACACATGTGCACACATGCTCTCTCATACACTCACATGCACACACACTCTCACACACACTGACATTCTCGCACGTGCACACACTGGCTTCCATCAGTCCCTCCCTGCCTCCCTTCCCTGTCCAAGCTGGGGCCCCCACCAGCCACATCTCCATCCATGGCAGGTGCCTGTGCCTTGTGCACTCTCTATTGTGCACTCTCTGGAGGGGCCCTGCCTATCCCCCCCAACCCCGCTGCCCCAGCCTGGCGGGAGCACGCCCCAGGAGGACCCTTCCTTCCTCCTTAGTGCCACACAAGGAGAAACTCAAGCCCCTGAAGGGAGGGCCTTGCTCTAGTGGAGCGGCCCTGTCCCAGTGTGCCTGGTGAGGGTTTGGAGGTGAGGAGCCGGGCCCAGGTGGATCCTGGCTTCCAGTCTCACTGCGTCTGGAGCTCAGATCCCATCTGTAAAGGTCCCAAGATGCCATGGGACCCCCAGGAGGGAATGGGGAGAGGTGACAGGCAGTCTTGAGTGCCAGAAGACCTCTGCCTGATGGTCCTCGTGGCCGACTCTCCTGTGGCCAGCTCCTGCCCTTTGTCCCTCACTGTTGGCTGTCCCCGGTCACTCGGTACTCCTTGAGCACAGCTGTGCTCTGTTCCTGGGAGCCCCCCGCCACTGCCGCAGGGAGCCCGCAGTCTAGGAGAGGTACATGGCAAACTCCCCAGCACCAGGACACGGTCAGAGCGAGGTCGGCACCCAGAACCGGGCAAGGGTCTCACGGGACAAAGGGGAGCAGGCTGGACGGGGTGGGGGCTATCGGGGGCCTGGCCCGGGCTTGGGTTAGGAGGTGCTGTGATTGTTGTGATTGTTATTTCCATGGCACTGGCATTATCTGCGCTTGGGGTTCCAGTGGCTGCGTCCCTAGGTCCCCTCAGGAATTGGAAGCAGGGCGGCTTTCTGTCCTTGGCCTTGCTCCTGGAGGCAGCATGGATGTGAGCTGTGCTTGGCTCCAAGGACAGCACTGTGACGGTCAGTCACCTGCTCCATCTGCTTGCTTCCCAAACGTGCTGGGTGATCTCCCAGAACTCCTCAAATCTGGGGTCTGGGGCCCAAAACTGAGTCATCCCTGGGGACAGGCTGCAGGCAAAGCCCGTGCCGGGAGTGGGGCACTCAGGCCGAGCAAATGGCTGCGAGGCCTGCCTATAGGGCAGTTGCAGGTTTGGATGTTGGCCCAGCAGGCAGTGGGTGGGTGGCCTGATGGGGTTGGGGGCCTCGGTGGCTCCTGCCTGACCCCCAGATGCATGTGGCCTGTGGCTCTGGCACATGGGAAACACTGGAGCGGGGTTCCTTGCCGGCCTGGGGCAAAGCAGCCTGGGGTGGGGGCCTGCCAGATTCTGTGGTTGGCACCAGCTGGTGGCTGATGGCACCACCACGCTTTTGTGGCCTTGTTCCTGGCTTGAAAAAATGACATTCTGGGTGTGGTACCTCTGGCCAGTGTCACGTGCCACTCACTGGGGGAGGGGGCAGGGGACCGTGCAGAAGATGGTGCCAGGGAAGCCCGTGAGAGCAGGCCCGCAAGGCACCAGCAGCATGGGGCAGGAGGGCCGAGCTGTGTGACTGCGATGGAATCCCGCAGTGCACGGATGAGCCATGCGGTAATGGTGGGCACACAGGGAGCAGAGCTCGACCCCGCCCACGGTCTCCAGCCTCCGTGTGTGTCTCGGATGCGTGTGTGCAGAGCAGAGGAGTGGGGTGGGGAGCAGGGCTGGACCGAGGCATGGAGGTGGGCTGGGGGGTCTCCTGCTGACCCAGCATCTGCAGGAAGGAACCTGTCTGGGTGCCATGAGGAGGCATGTATGGGCAGCAGGGTCCACCTGATGGAGGAAAGGGGCACACATGGCCTGTCTGCCTGGAATTGGAGCCCTGGTCCTGTCCCCCTGGTGGACTGGCTTCTCTGGGGACAGAGGCCTCCCTCTCTTGGGGTACCTGTCTGGGGGGTATGTACCACATGCTGATGGCCTGTCCCCCCAGCAGAGGGTTAACCGCCATGCCTGTCCCCCTCTGCAGCTATCGTTAACCCCAAACAGCCCAAGGAGACCCCCAAAAGCTTCAGCTTCGACTACTCCTACTGGTCACACACCTCGGTAAGCCCAGGGCTGGGGCTCGTGGGAGGTGGGGGGTGGGCCGCAGCCGTGTGGATGCTCGACCTGTCCCCTGACCACTCTGAGATGTATGTGTCTTTAAACAAGGCTGCCATTGGGGCAGGGGAAGGAGGGACAGGTGTGAGGCCCAGGGCGGGGTGGGGAGGGGGCTACTTTCCCAAGTTGTGTATGGAAGGTCACCCTCAGTGGTGACATGCGTTGTTAGGGTAACGCCCTGGGGCCTGCGTAAAGCAGTTCTGTTAGGAGAGCATTCCACATGGTAGCCTGGACCCTGGGCTCCCTGGGCCTCCCGTCCCGCCCTCCCAGTCCCAAGGCTGCCGGCCACGCCTTCATTTTGAGTATTCTGTCTCCTGTTCCTGCCTCTGACCCTGGTACAGCCTGTTCACTCTGCAGAAATGCCCTCTGGCCTTCCCCTGGGGAGTGCACCCTGCCGGGCAGGGTTAGGGCCCCTGTGCAGGGAGTGTGCGAGGGGTGGGGGTACAGGGGTACATCCGGCCTCCTACAGCCATGTGGCCTCCTGTCTTCCAGCCCGAGGACATCAACTATGCCTCCCAGAAGCAGGTATATCGGGACATTGGGGAGGAGATGCTGCAGCACGCCTTCGAGGGCTACAATGTGTGCATCTTCGCCTACGGGCAGACCGGGGCCGGCAAGTCCTACACCATGATGGGCAAGCAGGAGAAGGACCAGCAGGGCATCATCCCACAGGCACGCGGGGGTTAGGGAAGGCGGCACAGGGCCTCATAAGGGCAAACCAGATGGGTCTGCACCCACCGATGTGGAAGGACCCGGCAGGGTGCCCTGGGAGAGTAGCCACAGGAGGACAGGAGCCAGGAGGGAAGGTAAACCGGGAGGGCAGAGGGCACTGCGGAGCAGCAAGGGGCAGACCTGCCCTGAAGAGGCTGGAGCCCTAGGCCCTAGTGCAGGGTGCTGTGAGGCCTGGTCGTCTGGGCAGAGAGAGAGTTGCCTGGATAAGGGGTGGCCTTTGGGTAACTTAAGGCTGAGGCAGATACCTCAGTACTGCTGGGACCCTGGCCCCCACCCCACCAGCTCCCCTGGGCAGGCCTCTGGATCTGCGCTGATTAGTGCTTGACTTGGCCTGGGCAGGGGAGAATGCCAGGTAGTCTGTAGCATGAGAGACCCTGCCCACCCTGTGTAGACAAGGATGGCACGCAGAGAGTGGGAAAGGATCGGATATCATCCGAGAGGACTCCAGGACTTAAGCAGAAGACAGCTGCTCTTAGGGTGCAGGCCTTCTCAGTGCATTTGAGATGGACTATTGGGGAGCAGGAGGGGCCTGGAGAGCTCAGGCTGCCCACAGCACCTTGGGGCAGGCCTGCAGGAACAGCACCATTATCCCCATCGTCTGACACTGTGTCCTCGGCCCCACAGCTCTGTGAGGACCTGTTCTCCCGAATCAACGACACGACCAATGACAACATGTCCTACTCCGTGGAGGTAGGGCTCCCCAAGTGTCTGTGACTCCAGCACGGAGGGGGAGGTGGCCAGGCAGGGACAGCAATGCTTTTCTGGTTTAAAGCAAGTCCCTGCCCCTGGTTGGTCCCTGAGCTTGTCACTCGTGCATGCATGTAGCAACCCACTCAGGGTACCCACTCAGAGCACGGGGACATGCTGGGCACAGAGAAGTGAGGGGTGGTCCCCTGCTCAGTGAGTGTTGATTAAGTAGCACTCTGTGCCAGGTGTGAGGACAGGTGTCTCCGTGCTGCATAGCCTGGTTCTGCTGTGGCCACAGTGCCCCTGGGGTGTTTCCACTGGACGGGCCCCCAGGATGGGGGGTGGGTAGGAGGGGGAGGCCAGCTGGAGGGGATGGGCTGACAGCCCAGCTCCTGCACTCACACGGGCTGGGGGTCCTTTGCGTGCCTCCCCCTACCCAGCAGGCAGCCCCCTACCCCCTACCCCTGTCCCTGATGACAGCCAACCCTGTATCCCCACCTTGGGGGCGTTCCCTGCTGGTGGCCCCCACGCCCCCGGCTCCCTGCCTGGGGGTCCCTGAGGGAATGTCTCTGCCCTGCAGGTCAGCTACATGGAGATTTACTGTGAGCGCGTCCGCGACCTCCTGAATCCCAAGAACAAGGGCAACCTGCGCGTGAGGGAGCACCCACTGCTGGGGCCGTACGTGGAGGACCTCTCCAAGCTGGCCGTCACCTCTTACAATGACATCCAGGATCTCATGGACTCAGGGAACAAGGCCAGGTGCGTGCCGGGTGGCTGGTCTGTCCTCCCCGTGCCTGCTGCTGCATGTCCCTGTGGAAGGCCTGGTCCCTGGGGCACCTGTCGGTCTGTCCAAAACCTCCCCACTCTCTGCCGTGGCGGGGTGGGCCCCGGGGGCCTGAGGCCATGGAGGGCACATGCCAGCCTGGGAGGGGTCTCCAGATCCCCACCCCATCCCCTATGCAAGGGCTTTTCCTCTGGGGGGGGTTGGTTTGTTCCCTGGGGGGCACTGGTGTCATCTGTGGTGGCTCCCCAGGGGCCCTCCCCGTGGGCAGCTGCCCTGTCAGGCTCCATGGTCAGGAGGGCCAATCTTGCCTTCTCCGAGGGCGAATGGCTCTCCGGATAGGGCACAGGGTAGGGGCTCTCAGCGAAGGGCCAAAGGGAAGGCATCGCAGGGTGCCTTCGCAGGGTGGGGCCCTGCTCTGCCGTGATAGGAGTCAGGGCCAGCATGTGGCTGGGCAGGGCAACCTGGGGAGCCAAGGGGAGCAGGCCCAGCTGGGTCATCAGCCACTCTCACTCCTGACCACGGGATGACAGGTAACCCTGTGTGGCTTCTGTTCCCCCCCCAGGACCGTGGCAGCCACAAACATGAACGAAACCAGCAGCCGCTCCCACGCGGTCTTCAACATCATTTTCACCCAGAAGCGCCACGATGCAGAGACCAACATCACCACGGAGAAAGTGAGTGTGGCCTTGGCAGACGGCAGCCGTCTGGGCAGGGGGCGGGGCTCAGTCCCGTCAGGCAGGACGAGGAGGCCAGGGCAACCGCCGACCCACAGGGCATGCACCGCGTCCCCCACCCTGGGCGCCAGGACCTCACCACCACCAGCCTGTGGCTGGGCCTGCAAGGCCAGCTTATCTTGACGTTGTGCCCTACCCAGCATCTACCCCAGTCCACCTCCTGCCTGGTAGTTGTGGTGGGGACAGGGGGCCCAGGAGGACTGGCCCCAGAGCTGCATTGCAGTGGGTGCTGGCAGCCCTCGAGGGCTGGAGGCCGTGGATGGGATGAGCGCCTGTCACAGGGGTGACCGTGGGGCCTGACCAATGGGCGGGAGCGGGGGCCCTGGCATCCATAGGCACAAAGCTGAGGCTATGCTGGCCGGCGCCACCCCGCCTGCGGCTCTAAATGCCTTTCCCACACGTCTTGGCCTGCGTGGTGGCCCCGGACCGACACTTTGTCCAGACATGTGGTCTCTGTGCTCCCCAAGGGGCAGCCTGGCTGGCTCACAGCTTCTTCCTGTCCCTTGGTGGCTCTGTCTCTGGGTGTCAGGTTTTCTCTGTGTCATCTCCCCTGACCCATGGTCCAGGCCTCTTCCTGGGGGTGTCCCAGTCCCCTCCTGACTGGCAGCACCCCAGGGACTGCAGGGTGTCTGGGAGAAGTTAGCCCCACTTAGGCCCCGGCCATACTAGGGTCACCTCAGCCTGGTGCCCTCCTCCCAGAGAGTCACGATGGCCCAGTGGGGCCTGGGTGGGCAGAGTGTGGAACTGGAACAGGGTGGACTGGGCTGGGGGCCACCTGCTGTGACACCCTCCCACCCCCTGCCACCCAGCATGGGCTCTGGGCACCAAGAGGGTCTCTGGCTGTTAAAGTCTGGGCAAGTCCTGTCTGCATCTGCAGTGGCCATGGATCGGGAAGTCCTGGGTTTTTCTGGAACCCACGTGGCAGCATAGCCCAGTCAGTGGCAGTGTCGCCTCCTCCCCCACACTGCCCGGTCACTGGGCCAGCCAACTGTGCCCTTGTGAGGCATTTGAGCCTCTGGGGCTCTGGAAGTGGATTCAGATCCCACCATAGACAATGAGCCCATCTGTGGAAACAGGTGACAGGACACCCTGGGGAGCTCTATGGGGAATTCCGTGCCGACAGATGAAGAGCGCCCAGTGTGCTGAGAGCAGCACAGCAGCAGCAGCAGACATTTTAGGGGCCAGGGGCACACAGCCTCTCAGGGATGTGGGCTTTGACCTCAGGCAGAACCTCGGACAAGCTGTGAAGGGAGGGAAAGTGCAGGGTCAGAGACCATCAGGCCCAGGAAAGGGCTTGGCCATGTCCCCACAGTGGCCTTGCGGCCTCTCCTGCATCTGACACAGTTGCTGTTTCAGGTGAGCAAGATCAGCCTGGTGGACCTGGCCGGGAGTGAGCGGGCCGACTCCACAGGAGCCAAGGGCACGCGTCTCAAGGTAGGGGCCGGACTGGCGTGTCTGTGACCCTGCGCCTCACTCACCTGGCGGGCCGTGTCTTTGAGGCTGGCTTGCTCCAGGGTGGGCTGGGCAGGAGGGCTTGTCTTGGGGCTGGAGGGGGTTGGGGCTACCCCCACGCAGGGCGAGCCTGGGCAGGGAGAGTAGGGGGCACAGGAGGAGGTGAGAGGAGGCCAGGAGTCAGAGGGCTGCGCCTGGCACACTGGCTAGGGGCCAACAAGGACAGAGACCCCAGCAGGAAAGCTGGGCCTTTCGTGGGTCCTCACAGTGACTTGGGCACTGGTGTGTGGCTTTTGCTCCAGAACACAGGCTGTGAGGCAAACAGTCTCTTGTCAAAGACGTCTTCGGTGTCGGGAAGGAGAGCCTTCATGTTCCAGCCTCGCTTTGGTGCCACATTACCCAGTGGGTGGGAAGAGGCTCTGGAAATTGTACGAGCTGGGCCCCAGGGCTTGTGTGAGATGTTACGAGGACCCCCAGAGAGCCTGGAAGAAGCTAGGCAAGTGTACTCCCCTGGCCAGGGTGGACCTCTGCCTGGCTTCTTGCCAGAGCCCCCTGTGCTCCAAGGAGTCCCGGATGAACAGTCAGGGCTTGGCGGCCTTAGCCCCTTGTCTCATGGCGTGAGGCCCCAGGGGATCACTCTGGATCGAGAGGGTCCTGAGGCTTCCTGATGTCCTGACTGTCTTCTCCCCAAACAGGAGGGAGCCAACATCAATAAGTCCTTGACCACGCTGGGGAAGGTGATCTCTGCTCTGGCTGAAATGGTGAGCTAGCTTTGGGTTTCTAGAACTAGATGGATGGGATGGGTTATGGCTCCCTGTCCTTCCTTCTGGAAAGATGCTTGTCATACCTGTGCCAAGTGCTATCTCTATCAGGGTGCCTGGGTTCAAGGGAAATCTCGGAGATGTGAAGGATGTGTGTCCCTAGGCTACAGATGGTGTCAAAATTTCCCCACCAGTACTGGCCATTCACCAAGACACCTAGGCTTTTGTCCAGAGAAGGACAATTCTTACAAGGCCCCAACCTTTTTCTTAAATAGTTTGGGGTGAGGGAAGAGCTGCTGGGTGACAGCAGCCTGAGAGATTGCTCTGTTCTTTGGCCTGTCAGGACCAGGGTGGCCAGCGATGGCCAGGTGGTGAGTGATGGGCCTTTCGCGGGCTCTCACGGTGACTTGGCTCACCCAGCAGGTTCCTTTGCTCTCTGGAGCCCACTAGTCCTTCCCTCCCCACACACCCTGGGTCCCCAGCCTCACTCCAGGTCCTCAGATTCTATCTTTCTTTTCCAGGACTCTGGGCCCAATAAGGTAAGCTGCTTTCTTCAGTTCTAGGGGGAGGAGTCTTCAGCCATTGCACTGGGGCTAGAAGCAAGGAGTGCCTTTAGCCCCAGTTGTTCTGCAAAGGTCTTGGCAGTAAAAGTACCTTTTGTTTGTGCACCTAGCAGACAAACACAGTGAGCCCAATTCTGAGTGAGGCTGTGTGTTAGAACAACACAGCCCTGCAGGGGCCACAGCACAATGGGGGACATAGATGATAGACATAGAAACAGAATTATGAATTGGTATAAATCTCACAAAGGAAAAAAAATGGACTGTGAGCATGACCCATACACAAGGTAGCCTTTAGTCAGTACGGCCACATAAGCTTTATAGGACAGGTAGCTTTAGGGCTAAGACCTGTGGAGTGGGGAAGAGCCACCCAGGTAGAGGGGTACTCAGCTGTGCCATGTAGTTGGAAAGCCCAGTGTGGGGAGCTGAAATGAAAAAATGTTGATTTATGTAAGGAATTGCGTGGGAAGAAATGTGAGGAACCATGTGGGGAAGCATGAGGCATTACGTAAGGAAATGAGAGGAAGAGTGTGACCAACTATGTGGGGAACTGTATGAGGAAATGTATTAGGAACTGTGAGGAAACATGGGAGGAACTAAGCAAGGATCTTAAGAGGAACTAACTGTAGGAACAGTGTGAGTATTTGTAAGGAACTATATGAATGATTTTGTGAGAAACTGTATGGGAAATATGTGTGGAATTGTGAACAGTGTGAGGAATTATGAAGTATTGTGTAAGAAACTGTGAAAACTGAGGAACTGTGAGAGGAAGTATCTGAAATGGTGTGGGACAAATGTGGGAATTGTATGAAGAATTGTAAGGAACTACGTGGGCAACTGTGAAATGCTGTGCATAGGACTGTGCAAAGGATGTGAGGAAGTGTGAGAAATGGGTAAAATGCACATGGAACTGTAAAGGACTGTATTGTGGACCACAGAAAATTGGAATTGCGTATGGCACTCTGTGAAGAATTGTAACTGTGACAAAATGCATGTGAAAGTGTATGAAGAACTATGAGTAATTGTGTGGACTGTCTGAGGAACTGCGGAGAATGGTATGGGGAGCTAAATAGGTAACTGTGTGAGGAAACCAAGGAACTGTGTGGGAACTGTGAGGAACCATGTAAAGACTATATGAGGAACTCTGAGGGAATGTGAGAGGAAGTGTATGAGATGGTGTGGGAATTGTGTGTGGGAACTGTGAGGAACTGTGGAACCATGTGGAGAACTAGGCAGGAAACATGTGAAGAATTGTGAGGAACTGTGGCGGTATAGGGAATAGTTGGAATGGTGTGGGAAAATATGTGGTAATTGTGTGTGGGGGGAACCTCGAGGAACTGTGTGCGGACCTGTGAGCAACAGTGGGTGACCATGTGAGGAGCTGTGTGGGGAACTGTCTAGGGCAAGTGTGAGGTACTAGTAGGGGGAACCATGCAAGAGTTCTGGCATTGTATCAAGTATTGTGAGGAACTGTGTGGAATGTGTGAGGAACCACTGAGTGGAACTGAAATGGGAGAGGAAGTATGTGAAACGGTGCGGGGAACTTTGTGAATTTGGAGGAGTTCTATGTGGAACTGTATGAAAAACTGGTGACTTATGAGAGGAATTGTGAAGGATTATGTGAGGAAGTGTATAGAGAGAACTGTGTGGAATTTTATGAGGAACTCAATGAGGAACCTGTGGGAACTGTGAGGAACTATGAGATAAACTGTGTGGCAAACTGAGGTACTAGGAGGAACTGCAAAGAAATGTATCAAGAACTGTGAGAAAATGAGAGGAACTCTTTGAGGACCAAAAAGAAACTGTGTGGGAAGAGTATGAGGCAACTTTCTGTGGAAGTGTGTGAGGAAGTGTGTAGGGAACTGTGTAAGATTGTGTGGAACTGTGAGAGGAAGTGTGTGAAACTGTATGAGGGAACTGTGGTGAACTGTATGTGGCTGTGAGGAACTGAGTGGGAAACTATGAAGAAACTATGTGGGGGAACTGTATGGGGAACAGTTTGAGGAACTGTGAGGAATAGTTTGAGGAAATACACGAGGAACTGCATGACTCTGAGGATTTCCATGAAGAATTATAGGAACTGTGGGAGAAACTATGTGAGGAATTGTGAGAGGAACTCTGTGTAAAGAATCGTGAGGCACTTTGCAGAACTGTAACAAGTGTGTGAAACTGTGTGGGTGGACTGTGTGGGAATTGTGTGACTGACTTTTGAGGAAATTTTTGGAGAACTGTGACGAACTCTGGACTGATGGGGGGTAATTTGTGGCGAAGTATGAGGAACTGGGTAGAACTGTGTGGGGAACTATGTGGAGAATTGTGAGGAAACATATGTGAACCCTGTGAGAAACTGTGGAACTGTGAGAGGAAGTATGTGAAATGGTGTGGGGAAGTATGGGGGTTGTGAGGGAACTATATGGAAAACTATGTGAGGGACAGTGCGCAGTCCCTCACACAGTTCTTCTCAGTTACTTACAGAGTTCCCCACACAGTCTCAGTGCAGTTCTTCACACTGTTTCTGGCACAGTTATAAACACACTCTTCCCACATAGTCAGTGGGAAAAGGAATGTGAGGAACTGTGAGAAACTTTCTGGGGAAATGCATGCAGAACTGTATAATGGACTATGTCAGGGATTTGTGTGGAAAAGTGTAAGAAACTTTGAGGGAATCTGTGTGAAAGTGTGTGGAAAATTGTGTAGGATCTGTATGAAAATATGTATGTGGAACTGTATGTGGCACTGTGTGGACTGTTGGTAATTGTGAAGAACGGTATGAACTATGAGAAAGTGTGTGGAACTGGGTGAGAAACTCTGAAGAATAGTGAGGAACTGTATGTGGACTTTGTGGAACTGTGAGAGGAAAAAATTGTGTGGGGGAGCTGAGTGAGGAACTGAGAGGATCTGAGATGAAAACCATGTAAAGCACCAGGTGACTCCTGTGGAGAACTGTGAGGAATTGTGAGGAACTGTAAGGAAATAGATGTAGACTTTATGAAGAATTGTGAGTAACTCTGTGTGCACTGCGTAAGGAAACATGTGGAATGCTGTGGGGAAACTGAGGAACTGAGGAACTGAGAAGAATTGTGTGAAGAACCGTTTGAAGAACTGTGTGAGAAGTATGCATGGAACTGTGTTAGGGGTGGTGTGAAGGATTATGTCAGGAACTAAGAGGAATTATGTGAGGATCTGAGAGGAACTATATGAGGAACCGTGTAAGGAACTGTGAGAAAATCTGTTTGAGAAACCATGTGGAACTGTATATAGAGTTGTGCAGTACTGTGGAATTGGAAGAATTGTGAGGAACTGTGTGAGGAATTGTGTAAAGTTTGTGTGAAGAAATGTGGGGCAATTGTGAGAAACTAGATGAGGAACTGAGGAACTGTTGGGAACTATATGAATTGTGAGAAACTATGTGGAACTGTGAGAAGAAGAATGCAAAATGGTGTGGGGACAGTGTGAAAGTGCTGAGGACGTTTTCAGGAATTATGAGGGATTGTGGGATTATGGGTGGAAGTGTCAGGAGCTGCCTCGGGACCGTGTAGGGAACTCTTTAAAAAACAGAATTATGTGAGGGACTTTGGGGGGTATCTATGTTAGGAGCTGTGAGAAGCCCTTTGGGGAAATGTGTGAAGAACTGTGAAAGACTATGTCAGGGACTGTAAGGAATAGTGTGGAACTATGCAAGGAACTCAGAGATCTTTGTGAGGATCTAGGTGGAACTATGCAAAGAACAATATAAGGAACCGAGAGAGAGGAACTGTGTCATGAACTGTGGGAGGCATTGTGTGACAAATGGTGCAGAATTGTGTGATGGACCTGAAACTGTGTAGGGTACTGTGGGGAACCGCGTGAGGAAAGAAGGGACTGTGAGAGAACATGTGAGGCACTGTGGGAACTGCGTGAAGTGCTGTGGGAGGGGTTGCAGTAGAAACTTCTTCAGGATTGAGTGTGAAAGGTTTTGAGTCTCAGGGCCTAGAGCAGGGAGCATGGAGGCATGTAGATGATGAGGCCAGAGAAGGGCAAGGGCCTGATCCATTGTCAGGAACTAACTGACTGTGGTTGGATGGGGAGCAGCGGAGGGGTTTCCAGCACCATTCACAGTCTGATCTAACCTGGCATGTGCTGCTCAGGCTGTTGCCTGGAGAATGACTGGGGAGCCGCGTGGCCTGGTGTGGTGGTCAGGAGAATGGAAGTCAGTGTCGCAAAAATCCGGGTGTGAAGTGACAGAGGCTGGGAAGGCAGAGGAGAAGGGAGAGCAGCGGCTAGTTCTGGGAGGGGCAGGAGCATGACTGAACAACTGCTGATGGTGGATGGACAGAGCGGCGGAAATGAAGGTGACTCCTGGTCATCGCGGAAGGGACTGCGTGATTGTGGGGCATTTATTGTGAAAATGAGGACTATGTCGGATGTGGCAGAGGATTGAGCCTCAGGAATGAAGTAATCCAAAGGTCAAATAGAAGCACAGTTTTCACCCACCAAGTCTCAACGGAGAGAAAAAGGCCATCAGTCCTGAGGAGCTGTGAGGAGAGGGACACTCAAGCCCCGCCGACAGTGAAGCCAGCGCAGGATTTCGGGAAGCCATCCTGACCTCGTGTCTCAGGAGCTTTCACAAGTTATGTTCTCTGAGCGCCAAGGGAGTGCCCGTCGGAACTCATCCTGAGGAACAATGACGGAAGAGCTTCTGCCCAGAGAAGTGACTCAGCCCTCATGGAAGCCCCTGTGTGCGTCGCCCCAGGTGGGGAGTCTGGGGGGGCAGGTGCCATGTCTGCTGCCCCTGTGGGTGCTCAACAAATACTTTTAAGCAACTGTCTACAAGAACTAGGTGACACTGGAAGCTGAGTATCCATGATCAGTGGACTCCTTCGGTCAGTCCATTAGTCGTGTCTGTAAGGAGCAATGGTTCCTAGCAGCCAGCAGAGGCTGCTTCATCCTGAGGGGAGGGGTGGGGGAGCAGGTTCTAACGAAGGGGTCTGTGCCTGGACTGCAGGGGAGGGAAGGTGAGTTCCATGTGGAGAGAGAGAGGTGAGGTGGGACCTTTTCTTTTTAGTCAGCAGAACCAACAGTGCTGCTTGAGGAGGGGGCGATGGGCTCAGGTCCATTCTTCTGACAGAGTGGAGGGAAGGCAATGGCTCTGTCCGGCTGTGTGGCCCAGACGTGCGACGGGATGGGCTAGGGAGAACCTGAGGGGATGGGACAGCAAGTCTGGTTCTGGCCCTGAGTGTGGGCGGCTGGGGGTAGCACCGTATGGGGCAGGTGGGGAGAGGCCTTGAGGACTGGCCTAGCCCTGCCCTCCACAGCAGCCTTTGGCTTTGGGGACCCACCCCACAGACCCTGGCTTCCCCTCCAGCGGGCTCAGGGTTGACCTGGAATATTCTTCCCTCACAGAACAAGAAAAAGAAGAAGACAGATTTCATTCCATACAGAGATTCTGTGCTGACCTGGCTCCTCCGAGAAAACCTGGGTGAGGACTCTTCGGGTTCACCTGTCCCTAGGGTTCTAACTTCTGCCCTGAGCCATTGTCCTGCCTTCCCTCCCAAGAAGGGGTGTCTGACCAGCAGGAGGCCTCTCACTCTTTCTGGGCCTAGGCTGAGGCAAACCTGGGGGATCCTTCTGGAGGGCCAAGGCTGGTGGCCAGCAAAGGGCTAACGAGAGCAAGTGTGGGGAAGCAGGATGGCCCAGAGGGCCACAGAACACATACACCTATGTTGGGGCTCCTGCTTCAAGCCTGTGACACCCAGACCAAGTGCTACTCCTTGCTGGGACTCAGTGATTCCGGGAGACCTGCTTGCTTGCTGGGTTTTTGGTTGGTGGCATCTGTCACCCTGTCTCCCTGAGTTCTGAGCCCCTAAGACACAGATAGGGAGATGGAGCCTGAAGGATCCCAATACTGATCCCTTTCCTCCCAAGAATAACCTCGGGGGTCCTCCCTGGCTATGTTCACAGATTGGGAGGCTGACGCCCAGGAAGGTAAACTGAGTCTTGGGCTGACCTGGTGAGTGTAAGGCAGACCAGGTGGGCCCCATAGCCTTCCTTAGCTTCGTGACCACGGTATAGGAGCCCCAGCTGGCTGACCCAGCACCCCAGAACCAGCCTGGCTGATCTCTGCTCAGGCTAGCGACGGGTGCCATGTCAGGCCTCCTGAAGGCTCCTGGGGTCCCCCTGAGGGTGGATGGGAGTGTCTTAGGAATGTGGTCCTTCACTGGAGACATGGACCGGATGGACGCTTCTGCCAAGAGCCACAACCAGGCCCAGCTCCAGGGTAGGGCCAGGGGAACCCCCCGTGTAGTCCAGTCTGGCACCTGGTGTGGCATTGCACCCCAAGCCCTTCACACTGTCACCTCGCAGTTCGTGTGGGGGCCACACCCTGGGAACATGGCTCCTAGGACACACATCCCTGAGGGGTGCCCTGGCTGCTGACCAGCCCGCAGCCCCTGCCCAGGGCTCCCCACATTCTGAGCCTTCGAGTGATCCATCAACCTTAGAGCTGAAGCTGAAACGTCCATTTCCTCACGCAGTGCGCTACCGGACACCAGGCTCCGTGCCGCCCTGGGCCAGGACTTGGACATGAAATATTAAAAAATATATTCCGAACGAGGAAGATAAAAATGAAAGAAATCGTTGCATCTTGAATTGAAATGAATGTTAAATTTCTAAAGAAATTATCCCGACAGGGGCGCCTGGGTGGCTCAGTGGGTTAAAGCCTCTGCTTTCGGCTCAGGTCATGATCCCAGGGTCCTGGGATCGAGCCCCACATCGGGCTCTCTACTCAGCGGGGAGCCTGCTTCCCTTCCTCTCTCTCCCTGCCTGCCTCTCTGCCTGCTTGTGATCTCTGTCTGTCAAATAAATAAATAAAATCTTAAAAAGAAAAAAAAAAGGAAATTATCCCGACATTGCAGGAAATGCCGTAAAGTCGGCCCCAGTCCCCTCTCGTTATGGGGAGGGGGCCTGGCTGTTGTGAAGTAGCCACAAATGTGAGAAAAGCACACTCTAGGAGAAAAATGACTGGGCTCCCCTCTGCAGTGGTGCAGGCCAGATCCCCTGTTCACACAGTGGACCATGGCTTGGTTTACCCATCTGGGCCTTGGCTTCCCCAGCTGCAAAGGTAGGAGCAGACGGGGGAGAGAGGCCCCCTCACGACCTGGCCTTCTTTCCACAGGCGGGAACTCAAGGACGGCGATGGTCGCGGCCCTGAGCCCCGCAGACATCAACTACGACGAGACCCTGAGCACGCTGAGGTGTGTTCTGGAGTGAGTGGGCCCTGGACCCGGCCTGGCTCCAGGAGGGCATGGATCCCTCTCTCCCTGAGTCAGAGGCACCACTTCGGGGGGGTCACCTCATCTGGGGCTCCTTGAGGCTCCAGTGGCTGCTGGGGGCACCTGGGTCTTCATGGGCCCGTTCCCTTCCCACCACCCGTGGGTCCGAGGGCCCAGGACCAGGTACCAAACCAGGTCTTTAAGGAGCAAAGGCACAAGGGTGTGTTCCAAGGGTCCCTCTGGCAGCAGGGCGGGCAGCTTGGGCGCTGGCCCTGAAGGAGGCTGCTCGGCTGACCGGGTCACATGCCACCAACTGTAAAAGGATGAAGGGGTGTGGGTCCGTATGTAGGTACTTGCACATATTGGTGACACTTTGGAGTGCACGGGCAAAACACACACACACGTGGGCGTCGTCACATTCCCCCAGCTGTCAGACTTGCCCCCTCTGCCCCGGGGAGAACAGGTCCAGGTGCGAAGGCTCCGCCTCACAGAGAGGTACCCCCATCTCTGCTCCTCCTGGTGACTCAGTCCCCCCAAATGTGGGGCAGGGCTAGGTGACCCCCCTGTAGGGCTCTGGCCAATGGCCCCATTGGCTCCAGGTGGGGTGACCTGCTCTGAGGTCCTCCCCACCGTGGCTCTGCCCTGGGTAGGGCTCTGGGCCCCCTTGGGCCTGCTGGCCGCGGGCACAGCCCACAGCTCCCTTGGCCGTCCAGGTATGCCGACCGGGCCAAACAGATCCGCTGTAACGCCGTCATCAATGAGGACCCGAACAACAAGCTGATCCGTGAGCTGAAGGACGAGGTGACGCGGCTGCGGGACCTGCTGTATGCCCAGGGTCTCGGGGACATCACCGACAGTGAGTGTCTGGGCCACCTGTCCTAGGTGGGGCGGGCAGGCCGGGGTGGCCTCCCTCCTCGGGACAGCCACCTGTTGGCTGGCTGGGGGCCAGTCCGGCTGCCCTCATGGCATGGACCTGAATCCCAGCCCAGCTCTGAGTCCCTGGGCAAGCCACCTCGGGGGGAGGCTGCGGTTTTGGCCTCGGCCGGGGTGGACAGCATGGTTTGGGTCTGGTGCTGGCCCAAGCAGGCCGCAGACGGTTTCCCTGGAAGCCACATTGGCGTACTGGGGGTGCTGGGGAGGCCGCGGTCCCCGGGTGTCCGCTGAAGACCCCTGCCTCCCAGCCTGGTGCCTGGCCTGTGATGGGTGGGCCTCAGGCCCTCTGGAGACAAACCTGTTCTTCTGTTTCTCTGTGTTTCCTCCCTTCCCCACTCCTCCCCTCCCCGTAGCCAACACTGTGCCCGGAGGACCCAAATGTGTGTATCCCCCTTGCTGCTCCCTGTTTCCTTGCTTCTGTCCCTGCTCCGCGGGGTGTAGGGCAGCACGGCGGGGAGGCAGCTGCCCAGCCCTTCTCTGCCATTCCAACCCTTTCAGGGGCTGGGCAATAGGTGTCTTGGTAGATGCGGGCACCCTGCCTGGTGCACCTAGGCTCCTGGCTCAGCCCATGTCTGTACGGAAAACCAAGGCCACAGGGAGGCCTAAGTGGCTGAGCCCAGCCTGTCCTCCCAGAGGCCTGGGAAACTCAGCCCGGTAGCTAGTGCCTGAGGGTGGGGAGCCCTGGGGGGCCTCAGGAGGCCGGGTCTGCCCCCTGGCTCCCAGCTCCAGACTCCCTCGGGCCCCCCACACCACAAAGCCCGTTCCCCGGGAAGTGCCAAATGAGAATGCTGCCAGGGCCTCCCAGCCTGTGTTCCTTTGGCCTTGGGTCTGGTTCCCTGTGGCATGGGCCTGCGGTTTGGGGCCTCCCTGACCCAGGGGCACAGGACACCTTCGTTCTCCCTAGCGCCCCGTGCTGTCCTACGTTTGCTGCTGCTCTGTTGCGTGCCTGCTTCTGCCGGGGGGGTTGTCCTAACCCCAAGTCCCAGGTCTTGGGGGGCATGGAACCCTGGGGCAGCCAGAGCAGGCTCTCCAGGGTGGAGGAGCAGGGGCCCTTTCGGAGTCCCACAGTGCATCTCTCCTCCAAGGTGTCCTTGGGGCCAATCCCTGTGCTCAGTGGGGCCAGACAGCTAGCGCAGCATGGTCCCCGAAGCATGGCAGAGAGGATGAGGCCAAGTGTCAGGGCCCTGGGTGCAGGAGGGCCACAGGGCAGCGACAGCCAAGGGAAGGAGACCCGGTGGGGGTGCAGAGACTGCTGGAAGGCCACCGGTCTGGGCAGGGTGGGGAGGTAGAGAGGAGCTCGAGGGGGTGCCCTGCTGCCGCCGGGGTGCTGGGAGGGCTCTGGGGGCTGGGTCCTCCGGCGGGGAGGCGGTGGCAGCCCCGCATGTGCTTGTCCGGCGCTGGGCCCCCGGCTGCACCTGCTGCTGCTTTCTGTTTCCTGCCTCTCTTCACCCACCTCTGGCTTTTTCCCAACTTGGTCTTTCTTTTCTCTCCCTCCCATATGTCTGCCCGCCCTCCCCTCCCCTTCCTCCCGTAGACATGTCCGACCTTGAGAACAATAACCGTAACCGTGGCGGGGCGGAGTTGAGTACAGCCCCTGACAATCTCTCCACAGTGACCAATGCCCTGGTGGGCATGAGCCCCTCGTCCTCGCTCTCGGCCCTGTCCAGCCGTGCCGCCTCCGTGTCCAGCCTGCACGAGCGCATCTTGTTTGCCCCGGGCAGTGAGGAGGCCATCGAGAGGCTGAAGGTGAGGGCGTGGCCATCGGGGGTGGGGAGGGGGCAGTGTCCCGTCCTGAGGGGCCTGGGATCCTGGAAGGGGTGTGCTGACAGCGCCGGGTAGACTTGCCTGGAGGCACAGTGGGCTGTACCGGCGGGAACAGAGCGCATGTGGGTCTGCCATCCAGCACCAAGAGGCTGCATGTGCTGAGAAGGGCAGATGGGTCCCAGGGGCTTCTGTGCTCCCTCCCTGTGCTCTGTGCTCACACCTGTGGCCCTGCGGGCGGCCGGCTGGCTTTTAGTTGAGGGGCTTGTCATTCCTTTAGTAAATGACTGCGGGGTGCTGGGCTGTACGGGGTGGGGCTGACTTAGCAGGCAGACACACAGAGGCTGGACTGTGGCTTGGTGGGGGGTACCAGGTGTGTGGGGGACCCTGGGGTGCAGGACCCACTGGGGTGTGGGGCTGGGAAGGAAACCAGGAGCTGGGTCTGATGTTGGAAGTGCTTGTCGTCTGCGTCCCGGCAGTGGCCAAGGGACATCTGTGCCTCAGAACCAGTCTCAGTGTCCCATGTGTCTCTCTGTGTCTCTGAGTGTCTCTCAGTGTCCCACACGTCTGTCAGTGTCCTGTGTGTCTCTCTGTGTCCCCGCATGTCTCTCAATGTCCTGTGTGTCTCTCTGTGGCCCCACGTGTGTCTCAGTGTCTTACATGTCTCTCAGGGTCCTTACATGTATATGTGTTTCTTTTTCTCCAGGTTTATTTTGCCTTTTTTCTTTATTGTCTGGCTGTGTCCACAGAAGAGACTTGTGTCTGTGGATACATTAGTCCTTCAGCCCTTGACATTTCAGGCATTGTGCTGGCTAGACAGACCTGGGAATTGGGGCCCCGGTGCCCTGCAGACCTTTGCCTGGCAGCCGGGCCTCTGTCTGCTCCCACCTCAGACCCCCAGCCTCACTCTGCTCTGTCCCACTGCCCAGGAGACGGAGAAGATCATCGCCGAGCTCAATGAGACATGGGAGGAGAAGCTGCGACGCACGGAAGCCATCCGGATGGAGAGGTGGGCAGTGGGGAAACTGAGGACTCCAGCACCCCAGCCCTGGGCTCCTGCTCCTGGGGGTGGCTGTGTCCCAGCGGGGGACAGGCTTGTGTCCTCTCACCAGAGACTCCCCCCTATGCCCCCATCGCTGATGGCCCCATTGACCTGATCCCTGGTCAGGTGACAGTTTTCTCCAGGCGATCGTGGACCAATGGGGTGCCCCTGGGCCAAAGGGCCAGAGCCTCACCAGCTCCTGCTCAGTGGATGGGTCAGTTGGGAGTGAGGATCCTGCAGCCTTGAGGCTCAGGCTGACCCAGACACTGTCCCTTCAGGGAAGCCCTGCTGGCCGAGATGGGCGTGGCCATGAGGGAGGACGGCGGCACCCTGGGGGTGTTCTCTCCCAAAAAGGTAAGTGCTGGTTCTAGTTCTGGGGTGCGGTCCTAACTCGGACAGACCAGGGTTGGGACCCACCCCCGCTCAGCCCAGGAGGGTACCGCTGGAAGGATGGGGGGTGCAGACCTGCCGGAGCCTGTGCTAGCCAGGACGGTGGGCAGCACTGCCCTCTTGGAGCTCAGCCAGAGTGGGGTCTGGCTGTCCCAGCTGGGACTCTTCCTCTCCCGTCCCAGCTCGCTCTGCAGACCTGGTGCTGTCAGTGGGGCCTCACGTGGAGCCGAGAGCCAACCCCTTTGGCAGTTCAGATGGCTGTAGCATGAGCATTTGGGGAAAAGTCTCTTTGATAATTCTAGGACCCAGGACCCCCATTCCCCCAAAGAGTGCCAGACCCTTAGACCTCTTAGGAGCCAAGTTTCAAGCTGGGAAGCCTCCAAGGAGGTGGTGATAGCCTACTCTGACCGTAGCTCGGCTCTCTGGGCCTGCCTGCCCTAGAGCAGCTTTGTTGTGGCTGGCTTTCCCCCCAGGTGTTGTTTGGGACAGAGGGCTTCTGTGTTGCCAGGACCTGAAGCCAGAGGCATGTGGAGTGCCCTCCGTGCCACTGGAGACACCATGGGGAGGGAAGTGCGCGTGCTGGGTGATACATTCATCAGCCCGGTGGCCACTCCCTAGGTGCGGGGCTGGGCTCCTCAGGCTGCTTCTGCCCTGTGAGCTCCAGGCCATGGAGCTAAGGCCTGGGGACAGTAGGGGGCCGTGTGGGCAGGCTCCGCACTTGGAGCAGGCTGGGGGGCAGGTGATAGGCTGCTTCATAGCCCTTTGGGATCGGCCTGTAGTTTTCACTTGGGATGGACTGTTCCTGGGCTCTCAGCCCCTGCCCCTTCCTGGAGGGCGTACCCCAGGGCTGGTGTACAGAGCTGTTGGGGCACATGGCCTCGGGACATCTGCACCCTGGAGGCTTGCCGTTGGTGGCAGAGGCAATAGTATTCCCTCTTGGGTCAGTTGGCCCTGGTCTGGGCACTGCCCTGGGGGCATCTGAGGATACCTCTTCCTTAGAGGGCGTTCTTGGGACTCTGGCGAGCACAGCTCTCATTGCTTAGGAGAAAGGGTGGCTGGGATGGTTGTCCCCAGTGTCCGATAACATGGGGACGGTCACAGTCCTGCAGACTGGTGGTGGCGCACTGGGGGACTTGGAGCTTTGTGTGGAGGCTGCTTATTCTAAGGTGCCCAATGGGAAGCTAAGGAAGCTGTCCTAGCTTCCACTGGGTTGCAGGACCCCGGCCTGGGACACAGTGTGGGGTGGCATTCCTGAGTTCAGGAAGTATGTCTAGGGCCCCAGTGGGTGAAGCCTGTGGGGTTGCCCAGGAAGGGGCAGGTGACTGAGGGCAGTGCTCAGACAGGTTGGTCATCTTGGGTACACCCGTGGATGGGAGGGGGCCTGAGCTGGGGGGCTGGCGGATGGGAGGGGGCCGAGCTGGGGGGCCTGAAGGGACTTCTTTCATAGCCTCTGCTCCTCGGCCTGCAGGTCAGATCCCTCCCCAGCAGCACCCTAATCCTTCTGGACTCACAGATCACTGGGTCTCTCAGCTCCTGGGTGCTTCAGTTTGAATGGAGTCCCATAGCTCCCTTTAGGGTGGAGGAACAGACCCAGAGCCTGATGCCTTTGTCCCTGCGGGACCCAGCATGCACCCTACAGACCCAAGAGCCCCCCACAGCCCCCAGCACCTCCCTGGGCTCCCAACTCCCCCTGAGTGCCTCCCACATAGGTTCTGAGCTCCCCGGGCCCCTCCTCAGGGAAGTCAGGCTAGGAGGACACTGTCCCCATGAGGCAACTTCAGGCTGGTGGTGGTCTGGCCCCCGAGGAGAGAGAGATCAGGTGGGTGGTCAGTGCTGGGCCCCCATGCCTCCCCAGGAGAGGTAACCGGGCTCCTCTCTCCCCAGACACCACATCTGGTCAACCTGAATGAGGACCCACTGATGTCTGAGTGCCTCTTGTACTACATCAAGGACGGGATAACCAGGTGGGGCTCGCGGGGCTCAGGCTTCCCCCACAGAGGGGCTGCTGAGCCTGGTGTCTTCTGGAACGCTACTGTCTGCCCACGCTAACAAGCATGGACACAAGGCTGGGGCCACTCTGTGCCACGGGGCTCTCCAGGCCGGGCTGTGTCTGGGGCGTCCCCTTTGGCCTGCTCGCATGCACCCTGGGCATTTCCCGACGGAGTCCAGCCAGGCTCCCCTGTGGGGGGGCAGGGGTGGGCCCGGGGGTGGCTGCCTGGATGCACTGGGTCCGGCCAGTGCTGACTGCGCCCCCCTCCTCTGCAGAGTGGGCCGTGAGGATGCAGAGAGACGGCAGGACATTGTCCTGAGTGGGCATTTCATCAAGGAGGAGCACTGCATCTTCCGGAGCGACTCCCGAGGGGGCAGTGAAGGTATCTCAGCCCTGGGGAAGTGGCTCCAGGGAACTGGGGCTCTGAGTGCTGAGCTGTAGACCCAGGAGCCCCCTCCCTGCCCCCAGAGTGGGCTGGGGGTCTCCCTGGGCAGGAGGATAGTAAGCTGTGGGAATGAGCCTAGATCTAGTGTGGAGAGCTACTTCTAGACCCCACTTTCCTGTTGGGTTTGGAGCTGCCGTCTGTCCACTACCCAGCTGGCCTGCCCACCTCTGTCCCCACTGCCTGTCTTGGACATGGTCCTCTTGGGGAGGCCCCTGCTGTGTCCTTGTGCCATCACAGGCCCCACGCTCCCCCAGCACCAGGTGTCCTCCCTGACAAGCATCTGGCCCGCAGCCCACTGTGACCAGGACACTTCAGGGTCACTGCCTTAATCAGTGTTGGGGACATTGGCTCTCCCAGAATGCTGTCCCCAAAGCCTGCCCTCCTCTGGGTGGGTGGACTCTAAGCTCCAGGGGGCTCTGGGACTCCTGGGGACAGGCCAGCCACTGTCTCCCATCCATGCCCACCTGGAGACCCTGATGGCCCCCCGGTTCTCTGACTTGCGCACACGCGCCCCCTCCATCGGGCATCTCCTTCCTCGTCTGTGTGGGAGGTGCGGCCCTCCTGTGGGGCCCAAACAAGGTATTGTCTGCCAGCTGTCGGGCTTTGCAGCTAGCAGGGAGGGGACAGGCCTGATGGGGGCCGCACCTGGGTGGTTGGGTGAGCCGAGCCACGCATGTGGTCAGAGAGGGCACAACCACCCGGAATGACAGTCCCTCACAGTCCTCCTCTTAGCCTTCCCCTGTCTGTCCTATAGCCGTGGTGACCCTGGAGCCCTGTGAGGGTGCAGACACTTATGTCAATGGCAAGAAAGTCACAGAGCCCAGTATCCTGCGGTCAGGTATGGCTATACTGCTGACCTAGTGAACACATCTATTCTGGGGGGCCCCGGGCACACACAGGTTGGCTCCTGTCATGCTCCAGCAGCTGGGGAGGTAGGTGGGCAGGGAAGGACCCTCGAACCCACACTGCAGGAGGGGCCTGAGCACAGCCCCCGGGGGTGGAGGAATGTCCACGGACAGGGCACGGGGTCAGGATGGCCAGGGCAGTGGCCCCTATCAGGTAGGGAAAGGACTGTCTGTTGGAAAAGTGCCAGGACTGTTTAGCAGACATCGCTGGCTGCTGTATGGGGAGGCACAGAGGACGTGGATTTGGGGAGACAGCGAGGTCTTGGGCCACGGGGCAGGTGGCTGGCGGGTCCAGAGTGGGGACCTGGGGTGGCTCCTGGCAGCGCCCTGGGGTGGGCCAGCCGGAGGAAGCGCGTGTGCTCCGCTATCCCCTCTTCCTCCCTGCCCCCATCCCTGGAAGCCACCCCCAGGGGACAGCCCCCCACCCCATTGCCAACCTGGCTTCTGTCCCCCAGGAAACCGCATCATCATGGGAAAGAGCCACGTGTTCCGGTTCAACCACCCTGAGCAGGCGAGGCAGGAGCGGGAGCGCACGCCCTGTGCGGAGACGCCCGCCGGGCCCGTGGACTGGGCCTTCGCGCAGCGAGAGCTGCTGGAGAAGCAGGGCATTGACATGAAGCAGGAGATGGAGCAGAGGTGAGGCCCAGACCAGGGTCCCTGCGCCCATCCTGCCGCTCATCCCCCTGTGCGTGCTCACCCCATCCCGCTCTTGCAGACTCCAGGAGCTGGAGGACCAGTACCGCCGGGAGCGGGAGGAGGCCACGTACCTGCTAGAGCAGCAGAGGCTGGTGAGGGCGGCCACTGGGCCCTGGGCCAGGGGCAGGGTGGGGAGCCGGGGTCCCCGCTCAGCCAGCCGTCATTGTGGTGCAGGCCCTGGGGCCCACGAGGGAGGCCCAGGCGGGAGGGCGGGGACGGGGTCTGGTCCCCGCGTGGGTCCACAGGGTTTCTCCCGTGGCCAGGACTACGAGAGCAAGCTGGAGGCCCTGCAGAGGCAGATGGACTCCAGGTACTACCCCGAGGTGAACGAGGAGGAGGAGGAGCCCGAGGATGAAGGTGAGAGGCTCTCAGTGGATGGGGCGTGGGCTTGGGCTGGGGAGGGGTCTCGGACAAGAGGAGCCCCCATGCTGCTCCACACCTTTGCCCTGGGCCCCCTGGCCCAACCTGAGGAGAGGCCTCCTTGTCGCTGGGAGGTGCCCATGGCAGCAGGATTGGGGAGCAGGGGCTGGGCTGCGGCAGGGAGGCAGCTGGGCCCTGGCACTCAGGCCAGTCTCGGCGGGAACAGCCTGGATGGTGGGGAGGTGGTGTGGGCAGGGTGCGGCTTCTGCTCTCCCATCCTGCCAGCACGAGGCTGGTGCTCTTATCCGGGACCCGGTCACTGCTCCTCACCTCAGGACTCCCTTTCTGAGCGTTAACTCCGGTGGCCCACCTGCTGAACTCAGCCGCTGTGGGCATGAGGGGGGCCACCGGCGGGGCAGAAGGGGCAGAAAAAGACCCGGGGTTCATGTCCAGCTTGGCCCGCGGTCAGCTGGTCAGTACCTTTGTGCAGACGTGACCTTGGCATGCCCTTGTGTGGAGCCATTTATCCGATGAGGCTTCTTCCCTCGGGGCAGGGGCACTGGGTGAGAGGGGCCGAGCCTGGGACCCCAGACAGGCCCGTCCTGGTGTCCCCGCGTCCTTCCTCCTGTGGGCCTGGGGGGCAGAAACATGTGAGTTGAGACAGGGCATGAGGCTGAGCCCCGGTTAGCCCTCCTGCCGTCCTCCCACGGGCACCTGCCCCTGCGAGGGGCCCCCCATGTCTGTAAGGGCGCTGCCACGGCCCTCTCTGAGCTTGACGGCCTCTCCGAGTGCTGTGGCTCTGGGGCCCATTGGGCCTTTCAGGCCATTCCCTGGGGCAGACCTTCCCACCGGTTTCCTTCTTTCTGAGCGCTGGGAACAGTCAGTGTGACACTGGGGGTCCAGACACAGAACCCCGGGTTGTGGCCAGAGTGGGGTGTGTGGCCTTTCTGCAACGATTGCCCACACCTCTCCCCACAGTCCAGTGGACTGAGAGAGAATGTGAGCTGGCGCTTTGGGCTTTCCGCAAGTGGAAGTGGTACCAGTTCACGTCACTGCGGGACCTGCTGTGGGGCAACGCCATCTTCCTCAAGGAGGCCAATGCCATCAGTGTTGAGCTCAAGAAGAAGGTGGGCTCCTGCCCCACTGCCCGCTCGCCGTGGCCACATGCACACAGGGGGGACCCAGTGCTGAGCATCCCTGCCCCCTGGGAGAGGGTACAGCTCCCACCCCTGACCTGGGGCCCTGAGAGCGGGGGTGGGGGGCAGGGAGAGGGAGGCCCCGGGACAGACCCGGGCGGGTGTGTGGCCTCAGGCTCAGGGAGCACTGAGGAGCAGGAGCAACTTTCTCTCCGGCTGCCGTTCAGAAGGCTCCAGTGCAGCCTAGAGGTGGGAAGGAAGCGCTCTGGGGCCTGGCCTCCATCCACTGAAGGGCTGACGTCCGCCATCCTCCCCCCTGCTGCAGGTCCAGTTCCAATTCGTCCTCCTCACGGACACTCTCTACTCCCCGCTGCCACCGGATCTGCTGCCTCCGGAGGCCGCCAAAGACCGGGAGACTCGCCCCTTCCCCCGCACCATTGTGGCCGTGGAGGTCCAGGACCAGAAGAATGGGGCCACCCACTACTGGACGCTGGAGAAGCTCAGGTGTGGGGGGGGCACACCCTCTGAGCTCCTATGTCGAGGGGGATGTTTCTCCTGCTGCAATGGCTTTTACAATCTGAAGGAAAAGTGTGGTTATAGAAGTTGCCTTCTCCCTTTGCCAACGCAGTGGTGAGGTTCAGTGGGCTTTCATGGAGGAAACGGGGGATGAGGCTCACGGTGCTGCAGTGGGGGCTGCGTGGGGCCAGCACCGTCAAAGCAGGCCCCGAGAGGTGGGTGGGGAGTCTCCAGAGCCAAGCTGGGCTCTCAGAAGAGCTCAGCGGGGTGCCTCTCCACCTCAGGACCCAAGGGATCCCAGGCAGGATGGCAGAGGGGCTCGGAGGGACCTGGAGGGGTCGGACGGGGGCATGCAGCTGTCGCTGTGAGAGGCGTCTTTCACAGCCCCACCTCCGTGCTCCCCACGTGCTCGCTGTAATGTGAGACTCGATCTGGAGAGAGATTGAGCGAGACAGAGGTCAATGCCATCAGAGGAAAGTCTGATGCTGCTGTGGTCCCCTGGGTGTAGGGGCTCTGCACAGAGGCAGGGGCCGTGCCGGTGGGAGGGCTCCGGGCATAAGGAGGGAGAAGGAGCAGAGTTGGGCAAGGCCTCGGCGGGCAGGGCCATCCACGGGAACTGGCCACTTGGAGCTATCCTGGTGGGGTCTGGGCACAGGGCTGCCCAGGCTGCCATGTGCCTGACTGTCGGGAGATTTTGGGCAAGGGTGCTGCTCTGGTGTGTGAGCGAGGTAAGGGCGGGTGGGTTGGTTTGTGTGTGACAGGTTGGCTCACCCATGTGTTGTTCGCGGGCTGACCCAACTGGCAGGCCCCAGGGATATCACGATGTCGTCAGCTACAGAGAACAGAAGATGTCATTAATCCATGCTCTCAGTCCTCCCCAGACCCAACCACACGCACCCCTCCACACTCACACTCGCACACCTTCCTCTCTGGTATGGCTTGTTCACATGCGGACACACGCAGGGACGTGTGCTCCCCTGACTCGTGCGAGCCAGCGCCCATGCTCATAGCCCCTTCCCACTGTCCTTGGGGCCATGCTGGGACTCGCGTGAGGACGAGCACCACATTCCTGTCACTCCCGAGTTCTAGGGGGAAATGACTGCATTCTCTTTCTTCTACAATGTGTTGGTTTTTCTGGGGATAATCATTTTAAAAATATTTTCTATGACTACATCCGATCACCAATCTGCCCTTCGTTCCCTTGGGTTCTAAGGGCCTGGCGACACGATCCCCCACCCCAAGCTGCCCTACCTGGGCTTTGGCGGGCCTTCTCGGTCCCCTTGCCTCCCATTCCAGGCCCGGTCTGCCTACTCACATTGCCTCGCTGTCCCTGGGTCAGCGTTGAGGCCATTTAGTGGTGCCTCGCGTGCTCACTTGGAATTTGCTCACGGTTGACTGAGTTTGAGGAGTGAGGAGGCTCCGTCACCAAATCACACTGAGCCTCGAGCTGCGGCCAGAGCTGGGTGGAGCCTGCTGGCCCGGTGGGAGGCATGGCCTGCCCCACGCTCCACCCATGGTGACCTCTGTTACCCCCTCCTCCCCAGGCAGCGCCTGGACCTGATGCGGGAGATGTACGACCGGGCGGCGGAGGTGCCCTCCAGTGTCATTGAGGACTGTGACAACGTGGTGACTGGCGGAGACCCCTTCTACGACCGCTTTCCCTGGTTCCGGCTGGTGGGCAGGTGGGCGCCTCCTTCCCTCCCTGGGCTGAGAGAGAGAGAGAGAGAGAAGGTGGTGGGGGCAGGGAATGGGCCTCCTCCCAAGGCCGAGACCCCTGGCTGGGGGACCCCAGCAAGAGGCCCTTTTTCACCCTGACTCCCCTGTCCTCGTCCTTCCTGGGTCTGAGGCACCTCCCCAGCCATTCTTGTCCACAGGCCAGTGGGCCCTGTAATTTGGGAGACCAGGAGGGGAGGGGGTCTCGGCATTGCCACCAGGGGCTATGGCCGCCAGGTTGCATGTGTCCACGGGTGTGAATGTGAGTCACCCGGTCCTCACACAACCTCAGCCACACCTGGCCAGGATCATGCCAGCAGGTGCTTTCCAGAACTTTCCGTAGCCTTCCACTGACCACATGTGCGGTTTCTCTCCAAGCCTGGGGACGGGGTGCACTTTGGTTCTCTTGTCTTTTGAAGCAACATTCCAGATGGTTTGTGTGTTTGGTTTTGAACAGAAGCCCCCCCCCCCCCCCCCCCCCCCCCCCGTCCGTCCCTGCGAGTAGCTGGTGTTAACTTCTCTCTGTCTTGTCGTACTAACCTCAGTTCAGTCATCTCTGGCTGCAACAGCTACCCTCTTCTCAACACATGCATGAGCGAGCGCATGGCTGCTCTCACCCCCTCCCCCACCTTCTCGAGCCCCGACTCCGACGCCACCGAGCCTGCCGAGGAGCAGAGCGTGGGGGAGGAGGAGGAGGAGGAGGAGGAGGAGGAGGAGGAGGAGGAGGACCTGGAGGACGACGTCTTTCCGGAGCACGCGCTGTGCGACGGCCGGGACCCGTTTTACGACCGGCCCCCCCTGTTCAGTTTAGTAGGAAGGTTGGTGAGGTCGAGGACGGCATGCTGGGAAGGAACCAGCTCTTTTACGCAGGAGCACTGCTGTGGGCACAATTCGACCGCCTCCAGGGCAGCTCCCCGGACCCCCAGGCCAAGGCAGTCCGCGGGGCTGGCCTCCCCGAGCAGAGTGCGTGAGGGAGCGAGAGGGCTCCTGGCCATCCTGGAGTATGCCCAGTGGGGACAGTTAGGGTCCCAGTCACGGAAGGGGCCATGCACCCAGAGCACGGCCCTCCGGCTCCAAGTGGGTGGAGCTCCTCCAGCAGACAGGCTGTAGATCCCTGGGAGAGAGTCCGTGGAGGCATCTGGGAGAGTGGGGGTTTGCGTCTTGGCACGCACCTCCCGCTGAGGCGGCTTCACTCCCCTCAGTCTCCTTCTGCTGTTGCCCCAGAGGGGGTGGCTCCCAGTTTGCTCTCCCTGCCACACCCTCTGGGAGAAGGAGCAGAAGCCGGAGGAGACCTTCCTGGAGGTCAGGAAGGAAGAGCTGGCGCTCAGGCAGGGGCCGGTCTACTTCGCAAGCCTGGGGCCCAGTGGACCCTGCCTCTGCCCGAGCCTTTCTCCGTCCAAAGGTGAGGACATTTCGTTCCTCCTCACCTCCAGGCTATCCTGGAGAGACACAGCACACAGGGCCCACGCTTCTTGGGAAGTGCCCTTTACAGAGACAGCCCGTTACAGTTTCTGGACAGAAGAGGGAAGCCAAGGTCAGGAGATGGAGCAGAGGCCCCGGGGCACCCCAGACCTTGCTGGCAGATTGGGCAGAGGCAGCTGCCATTAATGGTTTTATGACCGTGGAATGGGAGCAAAACAGGAGAAGGAAAACTCTAGAAACCCAGCTGCAGTGGTAGGATGTTTGGCTCATGGGACAACTGCATTTAGATTTGAGGAACATATGAAAAGCCTAAGATGGTTTCAACGGTGACCTTCTCTGAGTCTGAGATCGTTTCCTTGGGCTAAGCCAGTGGGAGCCTTTGCAGGTCTTGACCTTGGAGCACCAGGCCTGGAAACTGAAGGCTGAGGCTGGCCCCAGATTAGGAGGTTCACACAGGGAGCCCTTGGGTGCAGACCCCGGAGCGAAAGCCCCCCCACCCTGACTTCTCTTGGAAGGAAGAAGGCTCCCGTGGGTGTATGTCAGATTTATTCTGACCGGTTTTCCGTGGGAGTGACATGCTGGCCTCCTGGATGCAAATGTGGGCTCTCTCCCTCAGAGATGCCCCGCGTCTGGGCCTCCCTGAGCCTGACAGGGGGCTGAAGCCCCGGGGGCCAGCTCCACGCAGGCCTCTAGAAAGCCCTGGGTTGTGGGCCCGGGAGTCGCTCCACTGTCAGATAGGAGTGGGCTCAGGGCGCAGGGGAGTGAGGGCACCGGGAGAAACGGGGTGTGGGCTCTGCAGTCTCAGCCAGAAAGAGCTGGGTCCTTCCAACGTTTTCCCCCTCTGTGGATCTGAGATGTTACAAAACAAGCAAACCAAACGAAAGTCATCAGTGAGAGGCCAGTCCCCCACGGCGGGCGGTCTGTGAGGGGCTTCATTTGGAAACGTCCCCATCTTTTTGGTTTGGCAAGAATTGGCTTCTCCCGCGCGGCAGCTGTGCAGGCCAGGCCCTGAGAAGGACCCCATCTTTGGTTCCCTTTAATCCTTCTGGTAGCTGCTGGCTCTCTCGCCAAAGCTTAAGCAGAATTGGGGTGCCCACTCCTGTCTCCCTTCGGAAAGGCTTTCCTGGCCCCAGCATGCGTCTCTGCACCTCACCAGCCTCGTGGTTAGCCCCGCCTCCTCCCCTCCCGCCACACGCAGCCCTGGCTCTGTGCTCTGCCGCCTCCTCTCTCTCCGGGCGGGTTTCAGCCTGCTTCAAGGTGCCCTCCCCCGTGGATGAGCGCCCCCTTCCGGCGTGGGCCTCCCACATCTGAACCCTGGGCTCCTTGCCCGTGGCCAGGGTTAGCCCCCCAGTGGCCTCTCCCTCTGGGGGTCTGGGGTGTCAGGTGAAGTGGGGAGGTGGAATGGGTTGACCCAGGCAGAGGAACGGGGTCTGGGGACTCTGGTCCGCCCCCCACCACTGATAATCCTCCTGGCCAGGAGCACTGCTTGCAGAAGCTGGACGGCCCGGGAGCTGCAGGGAGGAGGGTGAGGGGCTGGCTGCCAGGGATGGAGGGTGCAGGGAAGGAGGGCAGGGGAGTGGGAGGGGGACCACCCAAGGGAAGCATTCCAGACTCTGTGGAACAATGCTGACCTATTTTGGGTCCACACTGTGTCCCCTGGGCTGGTGTGGCCAGTCCCTCAGCTCCCAGCTCAGTGCCTTGAGCACAGGGCCGATCAGCCAGAACCGTCACCGGTGAGGCTATGAGCCCATCTGTGTGCAGTGGGTGGGCTCTGGCTGGCAGGGGCCCTCCGGGCAGCACTGGGCAGTTCTGGCCCTTGGTGGCTGGGGCTGATGTCAGACTTTCTGGCACTTATGGGGCAGCGCAGGGGAGGCCAGCGTCTGGGCTGTGGGCTGCATTTCCTCATGTCCTGGCTTCTGTGGGTCAGGCTGATCTCTGCCTGGACTGTGGGGTCTTTCAGGCTTCCAGCCCTGGGGATGGTGGCTGCTGGACCCCCAAGGTCCCTTCTGGGTGATGTGCTCACCACCATCTCATGATTAGATCCTGGGGATTTGGAGGAGAGGGGCAGGAAGGAGAGCAGGCCCAGCATCCAGCACCAGATGCTCTCTTGCCTCCTGGGGGTGTCCCCCCAGCCCACACGTGTGCCCCAGGGGAGCGTGTGCACACTCATTCACTCATTGCTGGGTTAGGACCTTCAGAGCCGGGAAACGGGGTCGGCCATGGACCACAGGGGTCTTTTTCATTGGGTAATCCCCCACTTCCCACCACAGGGTCCCTCAAGGCCCTAGCCCTGGGAGGCCCGGCCTCTGGGAGCACAGATAGGATGGGTCTTGTGTAAGGATCTGAACTCAGGCTTTGGCGTGCTCAGTGTCATGAGGGCTCAGAATTTCCTTCTCATCTGACAGAAGGAAATCCTAAAAGATCAGGAAAGAACTGATCTCCTAATTAGCAGGTGGGCACTGCACCCGCCAGAGCCGGAGAGCAGCCAGGCTGTGGGTTTAAACCCCAGCCCCCAGCGCCTTCCTCTCTGTTCTTGAGCCTGATGTGCAGATCTGCAAAGGGGGCACTAACGCCCTCATGCACCAGCTCTGACACACACCTGGGAGAGGAAGGTGCAGGCACCTGAACTAAGACGCAGTGGGGGTCAGGGCAGCTCCGCGTCCGCTGCCAGGATGTGAGGAGTGGGCGTCTGGGAAGTGACTGGTGTAGGTAGGCTGCTGCCCAGGGTGGGTGGCCCTGTTGCCCAGGGTCAGCCCCCAGCCAGCTCAGGGTGCAGTGAACAGCTAGGACTCCATCATGGCTTTTTCATCCACGATTTGGGCCTTGGGGTCATGAGTGGCCCAGCCCCCATCTGGTTTGTGGGAACCTCAGATCTGCACAGTGATGCAGGTTCTTGGGCCCACGGTTGGCAACAGGACAGAAAGTCATTCGGGACGAGCCCAGCAGGTTTTGTGACGCAAGGTCTCAAGGAGAGAACCGGGTCAGGGCTGGCCTGGACTGGGCCCTGCCCTCCGCCTCCGTCTCTCTCTGGCCTGGGCTTGGGGAGGGACGGGGAGGAGCATCAGGAAGTGGGTGGACATGGACCTGTGAGCTCAGAGAGGGGTAGGGGTTACCTCTGGGGTGCTGTGGGTCACGGTCTGGATAACCCCTGGGCCCTGATGCCCAGATCCAACCCCTGAGGTATCAGCCCCTGAGCCTTCTTGGAAGGCAGCCCCGGCCAGGGGCTCTGCAGTGGCCTGACTCTGGCTCACCTGGCTGGGGGCTCTGCATGGCCCAGGAGGCTGTCCTGATTAAGTACCCTCGTGCCAGTCACGGTGCCCTCACCTGCCCCCAGTGGGAGGTGTCCCCCTGCTTCTCAGGGCCCTCCTGCTGGTTCTCTGCAGACTATAGATGGGGGTGGGCACCCATCTGTGCCTGGGAGGCCCTGGGAGCCTCCTCAGCGCCTCCCTGCCTCCTGACACGGGACCTCCCATGGTGGGCCCTGCCCTGGGCCTGAGGCCTGCAGCTCGGGGCTGTCCTGCTCGGTCCTGTTAGCTCTGCAATGTGGTGGATGGCCAGGTGGGGTCCCAAGGGGGCAGAGCAGGGTCTGGGCCTATTCCTCAGCCAGGATGCCAGGGGCTCAGGGAGGGCAGGCCACCATCGTGTCCGTGCCAAGGTGGGTGCTGGCCGGCCTTGGCCAGTCCCTGTCAGCGGGGTGCCCTAGGCTGCTGCAGCAAGGGGCTTCTGCTCCCTGGGCCTTGGGCTCCTCTGTGAGTGGGGCCAGCGCTGGCTTCTGCCAGCCGTGCCCATGCCTTGTCTTGGTGGGTGGTCAGGGGCAGCAGAGCCCCCACACTGGTCATTCATCAACACTGCTGCTCCCTTGGAGCAGTCCTTCTCTGGGGTGTTCCCGGAGAGGGCTCTTTGCCAGGGAGGAGAGGGGCTCCGGGAAGCCATTGGGCATAGACACTCAGGGTGACACTGAGCCCCTGAAGCAGCACAGCCTTTCCCTTTCACTGGCGCTTATCTCGGTCTGGGGGTGCCCAGCAAGTAAGGGAACGTTGGCAGAGACAGACCCACTGCTGAGTCAGACAAACAGATGGCTATAAGGGGTTACACGATGGGGGTGCTGGGAGCAGAGAGTGCCTGGGGTGTCCTGGGACGGGGGGTGCTGAGTGGCAGGCTCGGCCAGCACCGAGGGTGTGTGGAAGTCTGGTTGGAGCCCTGAGCCTTCTCTGGCTACCGTGGGGGCCGTGGGGGAAGCACAGGTGTGGCTGGCCCTCGGCGGGGACGTTTGGGGTGGAACAAGAGCCAAGTGGTGCCCAGCTTTCTAACCTGTGGGTGGAGGTCCCACAATGGAGTGGGGCACCAGGGCCTGGAATTGGGGCCCTTGGGGAATGGCCTCCCTATGCCTACAGCCGTAGGGAGTCCTTTGGGAGCTCAGGTGTAGGGTGAGGCCGGTGGCTCAGCCTGGGTGGTGTCTGAGCTCTGAGCAAGCCGAGAGGGGCAGTGGGTGGGGTGACATCTCTCTCCCTTCTCCTCCCAGCACCCACCTGGCCTGCGCACTGTGACCTTCCCTCCCCCACCTCCCCTTCACCCCCCACTCCCACTGTTGCTCTTGCTTCTGTACCTCCTTGGTTCTCCCTGACTGAGGCTGTAGGCCTCCTTCCCCCACCTATGGTCCTCCTTCCCTTCTGTGTCCAAATCCTTCCCATCTTTGCCCAAGCTGGACCTCTCCCCTGGGACCCCCCAGCCGCCCCAAGATCCTCCTGGGAGCTCGGGGCTGTTGAAGGCTGTGCCCCCACCTGTCACTCTGTGCTTGGATGGGAGGGCAGGTTGGGGACAGGTCCTGTGGTGAAGGATGAGCAGATCGGCGGGTATTTGCCAGGGTTGGGCTCACTAGGCCCACCTGTCCTGTGCCCGGAGTCCCCCCGGGCAGGGTGCCCCTGACCAGGGAGGAGATGTGCTCCACACCAGCCTGCACACCTGGCCCAATGGCCCAGGTATTCCAGGATTCTCACGGTCCTCTTGGCTATCCGAGTGACCTCTGCACATGGACTAGCTCAAGGAGCTGGGCAGACTCCTCGGTGACACGGCCCCTACCCAGCCGGTCCTGCCACTCGCTAGGGGCACAGCTGGGCCGGTCGGATGGGAAGGGCCTCGGGTACTCTGTGAGTGGCTGATGGGGACTCACTGGGCAGTTCCGGGCAGTCTAGGGGGTCCTCAGGGCTCTGTTCAGCCCACTTCCCTGGCACGGAGGTGGGGGTGGTGTCCCATTGGCCAACTCTGTGAGCTCCTGCCCCCTTCTGGAAGGGTCTGAGAAGGAATTGACCTCTGTTCTGCCATGGGAGCCCTCTGTGGGGTGCTGAGGCCAGGGGTCACTGGGAAAGGGGTGGGAGGCAGAGGGACTGCGGGCATCGTTGCCAGTGTAAGGGTCATAGCTCGGCGTGGCCGGGTCCCCCGGTCCTCCTCCTCCTTGAAGCAGGCTGAAACCTCCCTCCTCAGCTCTCAGACAGCGGGTATGGCCCTGCGGGCTCAGCCCTGTGCCAGCCCTACTCGCACTTCCTCTCTGCCTGCCCCGCGCACGCCCTCCTCCTCCTCTGTCCCTGTGCCTCCTCCTGTCTCCTGCGCAGCCCACGGACTGCCCCCCCCCGCCTCACCCCACCCAGCACAGCCCCCGCCCACCCTGCCTGCCCGTTGCCCTGGCTGCTTGGCTCCTCGCTCTGCTTCGCCGTGTTGTGTTGTGAGCCCGGGCCGTGCTGCCGCCAGCGCTGCTCCCAGCCTGCACCAGGAAGGCCCTGACCTTGGCCTCTGCTCCCCCAGGGCCTTCGTGTACCTGAGCAACTTGCTGTACCCCGTGCCCCTGGTGCACCGTGTGGCTGTCGTCAGTGAGAAGGGAGAGGTGAAGGGTTTCCTTCGCGTGGCCGTCCAGGCCACCTCAGGTGCGTGTGGGGCAGCCCTGGGTGGGAGGTCCCCGTGGGCACCACACCATGGCCAGCACGCCGCTGGCCTCCTCTGTTTGTCCTGCCCCCCGGCTAGCATGCAGGCTGCTGGCACCCAGGAGGGCCTCCGGGAGCAGCTCCTACTGCCCAGCTCCAGGTTCTGTCCTTTCGGACTCTCCTGGGTCGGGTCTGACAGGTCAGGGGCAGGGTGCTGATACTGTGCAGGCTGAGCCCACTGTACCTCAGGGGCCCCTTGTCTCCCATCGGGTAGCCCCAGGTGGACCCAGGCCCCAGCGTGGGGCAGAGTGCTGCTCTGTCCTAGCTCCCTGCTGTGTCTGAGCCCAGCACAGGCGTGCAGACCCCTGACCACTGCCACCTCCACAGCAGCAGCTCTCAGAGCCTCTTTCCAGGCTCCCCACTGGGTCAGTCCTTCAGACCCCTTGGCCTTTCTGGAGCTGGCTTTTTTGCCCAGAGGCCATGGACCCTCCACAGTGGGCCACAGGCCAAACCCCCTGGCTGCAGAAGCAGGTACCTCCTGCTGCTGAGCCCCCTCCGCCTGGCAGGGTCCCAGGACCCCGAGCCACAGAGTGAATGCCTTTGAGTCTGGGTGTGCTTCCCTGTAAGTGGCATCCCATGGGAAGCTTCCCACCCAACAGATGTGTTGAAAGACCATTTCAGAACATAGCTGTGAACATGCTTATCTGAGCAGAAGCCGCAGGCCCGAGGGCCTGTGCTCACGCTCTAATGGCCTTTATGGCCTTCGTGGCCCTCGGGCCCTCGGTCCCCACCCCGTGGTCTCGCCCTGTGGCCTTGCTCTGCCCCGTCCCCATGGCCTTGGCAGCCTGGATGCCCTGGGGAGTCCGATGGCAAAGCGTCTCCAGTACAAGATGGGGCCGGGCTGCTCAGAGCATGAGCCCCCCACCTGCGCAGCCCCGTGCCACCCACCTCCAGCTGGATGACCCAGCCACTAAAGGGGGCTCTGGTTGTACTTTTGGGACCCTTTTGCCAAATTCTCACTGGCCCACAGTTTCTAGGTGCTCTTCATAGTGTGTCCTAGTCATGTCACTGCCGTGCCAAGACCTCCGGGACCCCCTGAGTAGGGGGAGGACAGAAACAGGGATATTCAGGACATCCAGGGCCATCCTCATTCCTCGCAGGGAACCCTGTCCCTGTAATCCTAGGGGTGCTCTGTTCCCTGGCTCTTAGCCTTCTGCGACCAAGCTGAGCCTCAGTGAAGTCGGTCCCACCAAGCGGCCTGCTTTATGGGCCGGTGCTGTCTGTTTGGACACACGGCACTCTCACTGTCTAACGCTATGGCGGACAAGCAGCAACTTCAAAAAGCTCCAGTGCTCACAGAAGTCCCACCTGGCCTGCGAGGGTCTGCTTGTTGGACCCTTGAGCGCCAAGATCTGCTGTGCTCAGGTCCTAGACCAGCCCCGGGGCCCCTGGGAAGCTGGGGTCAAGAGCACAGCAGGGCTTGTCCCCCCCTGAAGGCCCCAGAAGAGGAGGTTGGAGCCCCTGGAGGGTCCGAGAGGCCTCCCAGGGTGAGGTCTAGCCAGAGTGGCTGGAGTCGGGGGTGGGGAGGGGATGGAAGCCAGGTGTCCCTGGGGCAGCAGGACAAGGGGTGGGAAACAATGGGAAATCCGGGACTCTGTGAAGGGAGGGGAGTGGGGGGCATGTGGGGAGCAGGTATGGAAGCTGAGTGAGGGGAGTGTGGGTGCTGTTGAGGGTCCAGATGGAGGACAGTGCGGGCCTGCAAGGGTGGTGGCAGAGGGACAGTTGTGATTCTGGGGGTGAAGCGAGGAGGGCCCTGTGGTGTGGGCTCAGCTGGAGCATCTAAGTCTGCAGTGGGTGGTGGCAGCCGGGACTCAGTAGAGGGGCAGGGGTCATAGCTCGGTTTTGAGAATGAGGAGTCTGTATCCCCGTCAGGGCCGGCTGTGCTGAGGAGGTGGCCCCCTCTTGGGTCCAGAGGCACACAGGCTGGCAGGCCATGTGCCTGGGACGGCACCCTGGGTGTTCTGGAACCGTGGTTGGCAGCCCTGGGGGACCCCTGTCCTGGGTCAGAGCCCGTCCCAGTTCCTGTGCCTTGCCCCTGCCTGGTGGCTCCGACTGACTTTGCCAAGCCCTCCTGGGGACCAGCAGGGCCCTGACCATGCACTCGGTTCCCATTGCAGCTGACGAGGAGGCCCCTGACTATGGCTCTGGCGTCCGGCAGTCAGGGACTGCCAGAATCTCCTTTGATGACCAGCACTTTGAAAAGGTAGGCGCAAAGGTTGGCCTGGCCTTCCAACACCAACGACCCTCTTCCTGCCTGACCCCAGAGGGCCTGGGCACGCCTGCACTGCTCAGGACCTGCCTGGCAGGCCCTGGGTCCTCCTCAGCCTGGTTCCTCTCTTCCCAGGCCTCGGCCTCGGGGCCTCTCTTACTGTCTGACTTGTCCTGACCCATGGGGTCCATCTATCTCCTCACCTTGGCCTCCCCTGGGTCTGTGCCTACTTTCCCCACCGGCCTTTGGCTGTATGGGCCACCACACGCCAAGATGCCCCCACTGACCCGCCCTGACCCAGCTTGCTGTCCTGGACACTGTTTCCATCTTTGCCCTCCCCTGACACTGCAGCAAGAGCTAGAGGGGCCCCTCCACACAGTCCTGGGCTGGCCCTACTCTGGTGCCAAAGGACAGGAACCGCCCCCTGCCGGGTCCTCACTCAAAGGAGACGGTGTTTTCCAGCTGCGCTCCCTGTTCTGCTCTCAGGCCCAGAGTAGAGGAGGGGAGGGTCCTGCCTGGTGCCCCCAGACTGGACTTCACTCACAGGAGGCTCTTACCCTCTCCATCTTAAGGCTCTTTCCTAACCCACCCCACCAGGCTGCCCGGCACTCCACCTGAATCATTCCCCACCTTCTCCTCTGCAGCCCACACAAACTGAGGCTGAGGGCAGTGGGCACCCACTAGGCAGGGACGGGTCTAGATCACAGGTCTGCAAAGGCCCTGGCCTGGCTCTGGGGTCCTCAGTGGGCTGTCGTGGCCTCATCCTGAGCTGGTTTCCTCTGACTCTGGCCCCCAACCCACCCAGTTCCAGTCTGAATCCTGCCCAGTGGTGGGGATGTCCCGCTCAGGGACCTCCCAGGAAGAGCTGCGCATCGTGGAAGGTCAGGGCCAGGGTGCAGACGCTGGGCCCTCAGCCGACGAGGTCAACAATAACACCTGCTCAGGTAGGGGGCCACCCCACCCACCATGGTCCAGAGGGCCCACCCCCTCTTGGCTCAGCTCCCACTGCCAGGGTCCCCCAGGGAGGCCGTAGGACGTTCCCAGGACAGCAGCCGTGTGGGCTCCTCGCCCGATCCCGGGCTTTAAGCCCTGCAGAGGTCCTGCCACATCGCTCTGCCCTCGGCCCCCCACAGCCGTGTCTCCGGAAGGCCTCCTCCTGGACAGCCCTGAGAAGGCCCCCCTGGACGGGCCGCTGGACGCCGCCCTGGACCATCTGCGCCTGGGCAACACCTTTACCTTCCGTGTGACCGTCCTGCAGGCGTCCAGCATCTCTGCTGAATATGCCGACATCTTCTGCCAGTTCAAGTGAGCCCCATGCCCCGTGCCAGCTGCGGGTCCCCACCCCACGGCCCCTGTGCCTAGCCAGTGTCTCCTCTCCTTTTACAGCTTCATCCATCGCCACGATGAGGCCTTCTCCACGGAGCCCCTCAAGAACACAGGGAGGGGCCCCCCACTCGGCTTCTACCATGTCCAAAATGTACGTCCTGAGGGCCCCCTCTCCCCTCCACCGCAGCCGCCCCAAAGCTGAGCCTGGCGGCAGTCACTGTGCGTCAGACCTTGTCCCGGTCCCGAACCCCGGCCATGAGCTGGGCAGGGCCTGGTGTGAGGGCATAGGGACTCAGGTGCCAGGCGGGAGCACGTGCTGTCGCTGGGCAGTGGGGGCCTCAGGGGGCTTAAGCCTGGGGCTGGGGGCCCCTTGGGCAGGTATGAACATGAGGTGTCTAGGGTACCCAGCGTGGCACTGGCTAGTGTGGGGAAAAAGCAGAGAGACAGAGCACACAGAGGGCCCCGGGGTGTTTGGGCACAGTCTGGAGAGGCCGGGGAAGCCTTAGGCAGGACGTGTCCCTAGCCTGGCAGTCAGGAGAGCAGGGGCTTCAGAGTGGAGTCGCTCTGTGAGGCCAGAGAACAGGGCTCACCGGCTGCTGGGGATCACCTGGCCGTAATGGAGCCTTCAAGGGGTGAGGCCTCGAGTGCCCGCCGAGGAGTGTGAAACAGACCATGGCCAGTACATCTTGTGGTTGTGTGTGGCCTGAGTGGTCCTGGGCCCACACTCGAAAGGGCCCCCCAGACCAGCCCGTCCTGAGCCTCGGGTTCTCAGCCAGAGAAGCAAAGTCAGGCGTGAAGGTGTGCACACCTGGTGGGCTCATTTCCTGGGCGCCCTGAACAGAGCCCATTGACTGGGCAACCTTAACAAAGCCACGGCCCCTCCAGGCAGGAGGCCGGAAGCCTGAGATCAAAGCCTGGATAGGGTCGTTCTGTGGAGACTGTGAAGGAGACTCCGTGCCAGGCCTCTGCTGGGCAGGCAGATGCCCTCTTCTCCCTGTCCTCCCGTGGTCATGCCTTTGTGTCTGTCTGTGTGTCCTGATATCCCCTTTCCATGAGGACACAGCTACATTGGCTTAGGACCCCCCGGTGCCCTTGTTCTAACTTGGGATTACCTCTACAAACCTCCTATCTCTGAATACAGATCTGGGCGTCAGAACTGCAACACAGGAATGGGGAGTGGCGGGAACACAATTTAACCCATATCCCTCAATGAGCAGGCAAGGGCCCAGGAAGGGTCCCTGCAGGCCACAGAGGTGCCCTCTGCCCTCTGTCCCCTCTTGAGCAACGTGTTCTGAAAGGGCACTCTCGGGAGGTTGGCCTTTGGCAGGGCTGGCAGGACGAGGGAGGAGCATCACTCCCTTGTGGGCAGAGGTCGGGCCCAGCCAGGGTCTCCAGTCTGTCTTTCCGGGGAGGCCGAGCTGTTAACCTCTGCGACCCTCCTTCCCCTCCCCCGTGGCATGGCCTCACCCTCCCGCCTGCCCTCCTTACCTGCCAGATCGCGGTGGAGGTGACCAAGTCCTTCATCGAGTATATCAAGAGCCAGCCCATCGTGTTCGAGGTCTTTGGTCACTACCAGCAGCACCCGTTCCCACCCCTCTGCAAGGACGTGCTCAGGTCAGCACCCCCAGGTTGGGGTGGGTCGGAGGGCCCTTCTCAAGGGTGCAGGCCCTCTCCCTTCCTTACCAGTGAAGCTGCCCTGACCCAGGCAGGCCTCCCAATGCCCACCTTCCCCATTGACAGGGCAGCTGGTCACCCAAGGTCAGCAGGATCCAGGGGAAATGAGAGATGTCCCTCCAGGACTGAGCAGCGAGGTTCTTAAAGAGGACTGCTGTCTAGACCTTGCCCTCGTGGCTGGGGGCTGTGTATTGGGGCCAGGAAAGCAGGGGCTGGGTGGGGGAATGGCCAGGGAGGCGCATGAGGCAGACCGCTCCTGTCGCCTGCAGAGAAAGCCACCCCGGGCCCAGCTATTCCAGGCTCCTGGAGTCATTGGACCCCAGACAGCATGAGGGAACATCCTTCCATCTCCCTCATCTCCTTGACCTCCCCTGGGCTCTGTGGGTGGGCCAGGTGTCCCTTCTGCTGTTCCCACCCCCGACCTGGTGCGGGGAGAACTGCAGACAGGCTTCCGGGGCTAGGGGAGCCTCTTGCCACTCCCATTGCGCTCTCTGCTGTCCTGCGGGACCCGGAGCTATGCAGGGCGTCCAGAGTGTTGGAGAAAGAGAAAGGCTGTGAGGGGTGCTGGTTCCCAGGCATTTGGCCCCACAAGGCTCATCTGTCCTTGGGGTGCTGAGGGAGGCTCTGTCCTGGAAGCCCTGGATGGAGAACCAGAGTCCGATCTCACCCAGTTCTCACGGGCTTGGTCTGGGGTCCCCATGGGCCTCCTCCCACATCCAGGCTGGTGAAGGCCTGAGCCTGGGGCCTTTCCTGGGACCTGGGAGGCAGACGGGGGCCTGGATCAGGCAGCGCTGTGAGCTCCTGCTGCTGCTCCTGCCCTTGGCTCCAGCACTGGCTTGGGGGCCTGGAGACCTGCCCACAGCTGCCTCACCCCGGCGCCTCTCTCTCCACAGCCCCCTGAGGCCCTCGCGCCGCCACTTCCCAAGGGTCATGCCGCTGTCCAAGCCAGGTACCTGGGGCTCTCCTGCGTCCACCCCTGGGGGATCGAGGGGCTCGTGCTGCCCTGATGCGTCCCCACACCTTGCTGGGATGTGGCAGGCCGGGTTTTCCACCCGTGGTGCCTCTCTCCTGTCACCCCCCAGTGCCTGCGACCAAGCTCAGCACTCTGGCGCGGCCCTGCCCTGGGCCCTGTCACTGCAAGTACGACCTCCTGGTCTACTTCGAGATCTGCGAGCTGGAGGCCAATGGCGAGTGAGTACCCTCACCGGCTATGGCCAGGCTGCCCGGGCCATAGCCTCAGGCTGGTGTGCATGGCTGTCCTTGTCTGGCTGACTCTGTCCTCCCTGGACTGGACTGCCTCCTCTTGGCCAGAGGCGGGAGTTGCTTTTCCTGTTCCCACCCTTTATCTCCTCTGGGCGCACAGGTATGTGTTGGGGAGTGTGGGGGGTGGGGGGTTTGCCTCACGCATCTCTTTTTTGCAGTTACATTCCTGCAGTCGTGGACCACCGTGGCGGGATGCCATGCATGGGGACCTTCCTGCTTCACCAGGTGCGAGGTGCTCCCTGCCCCTGCCCGCCTGTGCTCCCTGCCGTGGGGGCCCCAGGCCATCTGAACATGTCCTCTCTCCTGGCGCTGGGCAGGGCATCCAGAGACGGATTACTGTGACCCTGCTGCATGAGACAGGCAGCCACATCCGCTGGAAGGAAGTTCGAGAGCTGGTCGTGGGTGAGTGAGATGGGTGCGGGCTGCCTTAGGGGCTGGGGCTGGGTTGGCAGGAAGACCCCTGTCCAGGCCAGATGCCTGAGCTCTAACCACAGCTCTGCCCCGAGGCTGTGTGACTTTGGCCAAGTCACTGAACCTCTCTGTGCCTCAGTCCCTCCCCTGGAGAGGAAAGTTCGGGCCAGGGTGATGCTGACCCATTTCTGTGGAGTCCCCTGCTGTCAGCTACGCTGGTGCGGATGGCAGAGCTGGGCCCTCCCACAGACCTGCAGGCATGAGGCTGAGGGCACTCACCCTCTGAAGCCTGTAGGGGAGCGCCGGTCCTTGCCTCTTCCTGCTGTCAGCGGTGTGTGGGGACTGCCTGGCCCTCCTCGGCTTAGGGACCCATCAGGTGGCCTCTTCTTGGGAGGATCTGGATCAGGGCCCACCCCCGCCAGTGTGACCACAGCTCAGCTAAGTACATCCACCAAGACCTTGGATCCAAATAAAGTCACATTCTCAGGTCCTGGGGGTCAGCACGATGCATCCTTTTTGGTGGTGGGGGGGGACACACAGGGAGAGGACACATAGTTCAACTCATAGTGGTCACCATGGACCTCGGACATTTTCCTTCAAGTTTCTTTTGCCAAACTGTGAAGAGTTTGTTTTCCAGTTTCCCTTCAAGGGCTCAGACGATTATCCGTCCTTCCCCTCCCCTGGAGCTGATGGGTCCCTCCGGAAGCCCCTTCCTGGGCCTTTCTGTGGTCAGGAGGGCTGCCGCTGGAGGGTGCTGTCCTGGGTCTCATGGGGGGCCGAGGGCACGGTCGCAGGGATGCCACTGCCAGAAGCCATATGCTGGGCCCCAAGGTGCAGGACTGTGATCTTCTGGGGGCCCAAGACAAATGCTTTTATTTTAGCCATTGGTATCTGTGTTCACACAAATCCTAAAAGGCTGGAGAGAGCTAGCAAATCCTCCTCTGAGATGTTTAGGGCAAGTTTAGGGAATCAACCTAAAGAATGAGATGCAGCATGTACCCCGCCGGCGCCCAGACCTCGTGCAGACGGGAGGGCTCGCCCCATGTGTGGGCAGAGGAGGGGTGCTGCTGAGAGGAGGGGGGATAACTGTGAACACCAAGGCCCCACTCCGGGTTAAGGGCTCTGGGCGCTGTCTCTCTGGGCCTCCTAAACGAGATAGACCTGGGAAGGGGCGCCTCTGCCCCACAGGGGCCCCCAGGCATCACGCTTGCCAGCGGGGCGCCTGACCACACAAATGGGCAGAGAGCTGCTGACGTTGTGCCCTAGGGGCTGAGGAGGTTGGGGGCCAGCCCTGGAATGAGCTTTTTGGCTCCAGTCAAGCCACGGGGCACTCCACCTCCCACTATGGGGGTCACACCCTGGGAGCACTTTTGGGGGACCCCACACCTGCCTCCTCCCAGAACCCAAATGCTGCAAGGAGATTCCAGGAGGTAGGGCAAGCAACTCCAGCATACATGGCCACAGACTCCTGGCCAGGGCCTGGGCTCCGCCTCACACATGCGTACGGGGGACAGAAAGCCAGTCTTCCTGCATGGCTTAATGGAGAAAATTCAGTGTCTGTTTCTGCCCTGAAGAAGCGGAGTGTTCTGGTATCTAACACTACTGGGGCAAGAAACGACTCGCAAAGCCACCAGCAGGATTCTTGACTCACAGCCATTGTGGCGCCTTCCCCAGACAGGACCCCCATCCCAGGGGGCGTCTTAGGGGGCTCAGCAGGAAGTGTGCCCTGCAGAGAGATTAACAACCCAGATGGTCCTTCCTTCCCCCCTTTCCTTTCCTTTCCTTTCCTTTCCTTTCCTTTCCTTTCCTTTCCTCTCCTCTCCTCTCCTCTCCTCTCCTCTCCTCTCCTCTCCTCTCCTTCCATCCATCCATTCATCCCTCCCTCCTTCCCTCCCTTCGTTCTGTCTGTCCATCCATTTATCCTTCCCTCCTTCCCTTCCTTCCTTCCTTCCTTCCTTCCTTTCTTCCTTCCTTCCCTCCTTTCCTTCCTCCTCTCCCTCCCTCTCTCCCTTCCTTCCTTCTATTCCTTCCCTCTTTCCTTCATTCTCTCCTTCCTTTCCTTTCCTCTTCCTTCCTTCCTTCCCTCCTTCATTCTCTCTTCCTTCTAGTATAAAGAGAAGAAGGAACATTTTTCTTTTTCTTGCTAAGATTTCCTTTCCTAACAAGGGCCTGTGCATTCTAGGCTGAGTGGTTAGAACCTATCAGTTGGGTGCGAGAGAGACCGACATTGAGAGAGAGAGTTATTTATGGTTGATAAACTAGAAACTGAGATTGTGGGAGGACGGAGGGCAGGATGGTATGCTGAGTGCCGGCGCCCGGGATTGGCAGAGACGCTGCCATGGCCTCGCTGTCTGGTGCTCCTGTGGGCCCACGGGGAGTCGGTTCCCTGATGTGGCCGCAAAGTTCCGGAGTGCCGGTCCAGGCAGGGACCCAGCACCCGCCTGTCCTCCTGGGAGGTGACTGTACTGTGGCCTTTCCTGTAGGTCGAATCCGAAACACACCAGAAACTGATGAATCCCTGATCGACCCCAACATCTTGTCTCTCAACATCCTGTCCTCTGATTACATCCACCCGGCCCAGGATGACCGGTGAGTGCCCTCGGGGCAACAGTGGATTCTGTTCCCAGCTCCCTGGAGACGGGGTCCAGGTCAGGACCCGGGGTGTGTCCTCAGCCCGCTACAACTGCAGTGGACCGGGCTATATGAGGTCTTGGGCCTGTCCAGCCACAAAACTTTCAGGCCTTCCTTTCTGACACCTGTAGAACGGGTGCTGGGAGGGGAGGCCTGGCCTCCAAGTCCCTTGGTGTGTGTGTCTGCACGTTGTCCCATCACAGCTCACACATTCGTCCAGCCTGTTCATTTGGTCACCTGGCGGAGGGGCAGTGGGTGTTGAGGATGGCTGAGCAGGGTTCTGTCCTCAGGAGTTTCGGGGGGTGAGGGGGGACACCGGGGTTGCTGGGCAGACAAGTAGCCCCGAACATCCCCAGCCACGCTGCTGTGGGTGGTCTGGGCCTCGGGCTGGGGGTTCCAGTGGCCGTTCCAGGGTGCACAGGTCAGTGGTTTGGCCTCCGGGCACGGCTTGGCACCTGCTCCTTGTCACTGGGCTGCTCCTTTTCCAGCTTGCGGTTAATGGCGAAGACCTGGCAGCCGGGGCAGCCCCAGCTCCCCCTGTATGTGAGGAGGGCAGGTGGGGTGTGCCAGCACCCCTGGGATGCCCTCATTCACCCCCAAAACACCAGCCTTGCTGGGCTTGGCTGGGGGGTGTGAGGGGTGGCATCTGAGAACTGATGGGGGTGGGTAGCTCGTAGCTGTCAAGACCTGTCCTCTTGGTGGGGATGTGGGCTTGGCTGTGTCTGAGATGCTGCTCTCCAGGGGCTTGGGGAAATGACGAGAATATTCCAGCATCCCAGACGGCTCTCCCATGGGCAGACCTGGCCTGCAGAGAGACGCTGAGAGCTGACCCCGGGAGCTCGCGCTCTGGCTGTCTTCACTGGTTCCTGTGGCAGTGTGTACAGGAAAAAATATCTTTGAGGGCTGGGAGTGCTTGGAGGGGACTGGGGATCCTCCACTTGCCAGGAACACTAGGACCCATGAGGCTAAATGTCCTGGGGCGTCAGGTCCTGCCCTTCTGACTCCTGAGCCCCAGTGGAACCTGGCTTTGTTGTGGACACCCTGGGGAGTGTGCTGTAAGGGAAGCATCCCCTGTGCAGGCAACTGGGGGGGCCAGCACTCAGAGACTCCCAGAGGGGCAGCTGTGACTCTGGTTCCAGCCCTGCCCAGAAACCTTCCCGAGGGATCACCTGCACTCTTGTCCTGGGGTGCAGAACGCCGGGAGGTGTCACTATGATGAGCGGGTTGGGGGTCCTGCCTGGAAGAGTGGGAAGCTGGGGGGCACTGTGGGGCAAGCCGGCTCGGGGGCTCCTCTGACCACAAGAATGCAATCCCATGAGGGCTGCCTGCAGGGATGTGGGAGCTAGGACCCCAGAGCGGAGGACAGCCCTGGAGGGCTCTGCCTGCTGAGTGAGCTCAGCATTCCCTCTGCCTCAGACCCTTCCTTTGGCCCAGCAACTTCTAGATTCTTGGGGCAGAAAGGGAGTGGGGAGCAAAACACAAGAGGGCTGGGTTAAGGATTTTCCTTCCAAGCCTCCTGCCCCGGGTGGTCTCCCTACATGGAAGACCGTGTCTCTGAGGCTTCCCTCTGTCAGCTGCTGGGGAGGCCCTTGGGGGCCTCAGCTCTAGGCTGAGTTCCGGTAGTTAAGGGGGCTCTGGCTCCCGGCTGGACCTCAGGGCCTTAGCTAAGCAGGTCCAGCCCTGATCCTAGAGGCCTGAGGCCCCATTACTGACGGAGCTTTGGTTCTGCTTCTGGGGCCAGTCGGCCCTGTGTCTGAGGTCAGGGCTGCCCTGGGTCAAATGTAGAGGAAGGCCCATCTGTGGGCTGGGACGATAGACCTTGCCCAGAGCTGCTTTGGCCTCAGGCTTGGCTCCTGCCCATGATGGTACGGCCCAAGGACCACTCCGACCCCCCAGCCTTCCTTCAGGAAAATCTTGGGAACCGTCCCCACCTGGGGGCCCCAGGCAGATGCCATTCGGAGGCTCAGCGGGCCAAGCCGGCAGGTTCCCCTTCCCTGGGACTTTTCTCTTCCTGGACCCTGGCTGATGTCCTTGGAGCCCTGTAATGGGCCACTTGAGTGGACCCTTCTCCCCCGAAAGGCGCTGAGGCTCAGAGACCCCTGAGGCTTGGGCTGAAGGGTGCGAGCTATCAACCCGCTTTGCCACGGCCTCAGCCTCCTCCCGCTCCAAGGCCCTGTGCTTCGTGGCCTCCCCAGCTCAGACTGGGCCTGTCACCACAGACAGCTTCTCTCTGCGCTGCCCCTCCCCTTGCTGCCGCTGTCCCGCTGCCCTGCCGTCCCGCCGCCCCGCTGCCCTGCCCCGCCGCCCCGCTGCCCTGCTGCCCTGCCCCGCCAGCCTCACTAACCTGTAATTGTTTGTGTTTTGCAGGCAGTTTCTTGATTCGGACATGCCTAGGTATCATTTGTGCCCCTTGGTTTTATTTTGGCCTCTTTCCTTCCCCAGCCCCACACCCTGACATTTATTTTCAGCTTTTTGGATTTCTTCTACACTTGCTCCCCTTTCCCTCCTGTTTCTCCATCTTCTTTAGTTTTATTTCCTTGGAATCCTTTTTTGATTTTCTTTGTTGCTTCCTCTCCTCACCCCACCCCTCCCTCTTGGCTGAGTTCCTTCTGCCCGTCCTCTTGATTTTGGCTGCTTCAGTAGTTTCCTGCCCCTCCGGAGACCCTGGCTGGCCTCCTGCTCCTGCCCCCAGCCTTGCCCGCCCCGTGCTGACCCCGCCCCCGCCGGAGCCGGAGCAGGCGCCCCCCGCATGCAGGCTGGCCAGCACCAGCCCCACCCCTTGTAAGGTGAAAGAGAAAAGAGGGAGAGAGGGGCTGTGGTGGGCCCAGGACGGGAGGGCAGACGAGAACCAGCCCTGCCAGGGACCTCCACGCTCCACACCTTCCAGCTCTGAGCATCAGCCCCTCACCTGGCCGGGCTGGGGGCTCCAGCTGCGCTCTTGGCCTTGGCTGCCACACACCCCAGATGGCAGGGGGTGGGCAGTAAAGTAAGTTGTGAAGGGCCCATCCGGTCTCTGTCTGAACCCCCCGAGGCAGGGGCTCCTGGGCAAGGGGCTGCCTCCCCGACTTGAGTGAGGTCCCTGAGCAGGCCCACTGGGTGCAAGGATCAGTGAGGCCCCAGGGGCAGACAGCCTCAAAGTCCCTAATCAAGACCGTCCATGAGTCTGTTCTGAGCAGAGGGTCAAGGTCATGTCCTTCTGGGTCCCGTGGATGGTGGTCAGAGTGCTGTGGGGGTGGTCCTGCAGGTCAGCTGTTTTGAAAGATGAATGAGCATTCAGAAGGCTTTTAGCAAATGTGTGAGCCTTTCAGCTGCCTGGGGGGGTGGTGCCTGTTCCTTCTGTGGGAGGAGCCCCAGGGGGGGGGGGGGGGGCACCACAGGCCTGTCTGAGTCACGGCTGTGAGGGTCACTGTGAACGGGCCCTGGGCCCCACGGGCTGTGGCTCCTGCTGGTGTGACCCCGAAAGCATGCGCACACGTGTATCTGTGTGGTGGACACAGTTTGTGGACACTCTGTGTTTCCAGAGGCTGTTGCTCGCCCTCCCTGGGGTCCCTGTCAAGGGAACATGTGTGGCGGTGGCTGCTTCTGGACAGGGGGCACAGACGTGCAGGCCCAGAGCAGGGAGGGGGCCTGGTAGGGACCTGGGCCGGCCAAGGCCGTCGTCCTGCTCTCCGAAAGCTCTGGGCCCGGAGCCCCTTGCTCGGACGCATCTGCTGGACAGGACCCACGTCAAGAGCTGTTTCCTTGATGAGTAGAAGGTTCCAATCCCCTCAGTGTGATTGCTTGGCGTGGGAGGCGGGGGGATGTGCATGTTCTGTTCAAGTTTGTGTTTGCACAGCCAGTTCTGTAGGATAGAGGGGTGCTCACTGGTCCTCGACCCCCCAACTGCACACCTGCAACTTATGCCTCCAGGAAGCTCCTGGGTAAAGTGGGGACAATACTGCACAGCCAGGAGGGGGTACCAAGGAAGGAATGGGCACTGGTTTTCTTTTTCAGCCCCCCAACTTCATGAGGCCCTCACCCCTGCACCTGAGCAGAGAGTCCAGACCCCCAGTTCCAGATGAGGGCTCATCGGCCCCAGTGGGCTTGGCCTGAAAGAGGAGGCCCAGGGCACGAGGGGCAGTGGGGGTCAGAGCCCCTGCCTCCTTCACGGGGCCCAGCCCTGTGGAGCAGGAGCCACTGTGGGGGCGGTCCTGAGAATGAGTGGACAGTGGGGTGTGGTCCAGGGAGGGTCTCGCCCTAGATGTATGGACTGGGGCAGCCTGGCTGTGCCCTTGGCTGGCAGTGCCCTTGACTGTCTGTGTAAGTGTGGACAGGTGGCAGAAGCTTCTGGAACCTCGTTTTCCTTTCCCCCTCAGAAAGGGGATAATTTAACCCCTGCTTGAAGTTGCTGTGGCAGAAATGAGGTGACAAAAATCCGTTATCTGGGAGGCTTCCACAGAACTGTGTAAACGTGGGTCACGTGGTCATTCTGCCCCTCATCCCCTCACCCCTTATCCCCTCATCCCTCACCCCCTTAGCCCCTCACCCCCCCCCCTCACCCCCTTCCCCCCCTTCTCCCTCTTATCCCCTCACCCCTAACCACTCATCTCACCCCTTCCTTCCCTCATCCCCTCAGAACTCACACTTCATTCCCTCATCCCCTCGTCCCCTAACCCCCATCCCCACCCCTTCACCCCTTTATCCCCTACCCCTTTCATTCCCTCACCCATTAATCCCTTATCCCCTCACCCCTCCACCCCCTCCCTCCCTCATCCCCTCAGTCCCTTCATTCTTCCACCTCTCACCTCCATCCCCTCATTCCTTTATCCCCTCACCCCCATCCTTTCACCACTTCACCGCTTCATCCCCTACCCCCTTCATTCCCTCACCCCTTTGCTTCTCACCCCCTCCTTCCCTCACCCCCTCACCCCTTCACCTCCTCACCTCCTCAGTCCCTCAATCCTCTTACTTCTCCATTCCCTTCGGGTCTGAGGACTCTCCAGCTGCACAGTGCATGAGGCCGCTAAGCCGTGCACAGGGCTGCAGTGGGCACAACAGAATCCCATTCCCCTGCTCTTAGCTGTGGGGTCCTATTGAGCACAGGGTTTAATTTTTAGATTCTCCACAAACCTGCTCGCGTCAGCGTGCCCCCCTTGCCTGCCCGTTAACCCACCGTGGCTGTGATGCTCGTCCCAAGTGCTGGGTACGAGTCACCACACAGTTATCGGAAGGTGCATCAGTGGGCTGTGTTTCAGCTGGCATCCATGAGGAACAACCAGGTGCTGCCGTTGGGTGGGTGAGGCGGGGGATGACCCTCTGCCTGCTCCAGGCAGCTGCTGCCCCACCTGTGCTCTGCGGGGATACGGCGGGCACACAGTCTGTTAGATCAGGTCAGGCCAACGCGGGGGGCTCCCATGTCACCCTCCAAGGGGACATGAAACACCCACCACTGTTGTGGTGGCCGGGACGGCCACTGAAGCTTGCTGGGCAAGAATCAGCATGGAAAAAACATCTCACAGCCTATGACATATTCTTTGTCAACAGAACTTTGTAATGTGTTTTCAGGTTTCCCCCTGTGGGTCCTCACTTGTCTGAGGATTGAACTCTAAGTCCTGGAGCTGAGTTGGGGGTGGTCCTGTTTCTGGCCCCCCGCTGTCCAAGCCCTGTGGCTGGGGGCGTCAACACAGACCCCCTCCCCACCCACCCCTGCTGGTCAGAGGGAGATATTGGCTGGCAGCTCCTGCAGGGGGCTCGGAGGAGGGGAGCCTCCGTCCTGCACTCTGCAGTCCACCACGGAAAGAGTTGTGCGAGTGGGCATTCTCCTTCCAGAAGAAGGGTCCTGCGGGAACTCCTAGGGCTCTGCCCTTGGGGAAGCGGAGCCCTGCCTGCTGCTGGGTGTCCTGGAGAAGGGCTCAGGCCTGGGAGCTGTGGGCAGGGCCTCCCTGGGTCAGGGACATTCGGGTCCCGGCCTGACATGGATCTGGATCCGAAGGGTCGGCAGGGTGGGCTAAGACTGTGGTGAGGCGCCAGAGTGAGCCCAGGCGCTCTGCTCACGAGGCGACCCTGCCCCCGTGTTTCCACCTCAGTGGGTCTGGGGTGGGGTCTGGGAATGCGCAGTGCTTCTGACCCAGGGACCCCTCGTATGACTGGCACATTTCTCCTGAGAGTGTATCTGCGGGACTGGCTGGGTGTCCAGTGGGGGTGGAGGGAGGGGTGCTCCCTTCCTGGGGTGACTTGATGCCCAGAGAGGTCCCGAGAGTCCTGTGTCTGCTCCCGAGTGGGGGTCCTGGTGTAGTAGCCCTGACTCCGTCTGGCTGTCTCGGTGATGGGGGACAGCGATCCCTGGTCCCGTGCTGTGTCCCACAGCCTCACACCCTCCAGGGCTGTGAAGGTCCCACGCAGGCAAGCTGGCTCTCGGCCACCCCTCTCCGCCCCAAGCATTCCTGCTGGTGTCCGGTGAGACCTCCCTCCGCAGAGGCCCCGGGGGCTTGTGAGTGCTGCTGACGACCCTTCCTGTCTGGGGCTCCAGGGTCTGACCCTCCTTACTGTGCAGATGCATGGCCGGCTGTAGGCCAGGGGCTAGTCTACAGGAGGGCTGCCTGGGGTTGAAGGCTGACCAGGGCTTTGAGAACAGCTTGTGGGCAGCATCATGGCTGTGCCAGGTCAGACCCCAGCCATCTTGGCACCTGGGGAACGGTGTAGTGGAAGGCGCCCTCTTCAGCTGTGTACATGGGCCCAAGGGGACCCCCACCCATTGCCCGTCCCCACCTCAACACACAAGACCCACAGGTTCGGGTTTTCAGCGAGGTTTTGGGTCTCAGCAAGAGCCACATCCCAACTTGACTGAGGGCCTCTTGGCCAAGAGCATCTCTGAGGGGCCTCGGTGAGTGAGCCTCATGTGGAGGTGCACTCGTTTCTCCTATGGCCCTGGCCAGTTGTGGCAGAGTCCATCTGGTCCTGGGGTGAGGGCTGCTGCCAGGCCCTAGGGTTTTGGCCGCCCTCATTGGGCTGGCTCCGGTTCCGTTGGTGTGTCCCACCCAAGGGTGAGGGGCTCCTGACGAGATGGGGGTCCAGCTCTTGGTGTCTGAGTAGGAGCCTGCCCTGGGAGGGCCACTTCTTCCTGAAGGACAAATAGAGAGTGCACATCAATGTAGGAGAGCCCTGCTGGTCCCCAGAGCACCGGCAGTGGGTCAGAAACGAGCAGCATCCTTTAATGACATTGAGGAAGGTGGACAGAGGGGACGGCAGCGAGGGTTTGGGGCTGGCTGGCTGCCCCGGGTAGGGGGCCCTCAGGCTGGCCTTTCCCCGTGTGTGGTCAGGGCCTCTTGGAGGCGAGGACTAGTAATAAGAATTAGTAAGAATAATCTGGGCCCTGCCCTCAGCACCTTGGATGAGCTCCTTCAACCCACAGGACATCTCCATGAGGCAGGGATGGTGACTGCCAGTGGCTGGTCCAGGAAGCAGGGTACAGAGGTGTCTGGTGATAGCCAGAGGTCACACAGCTGTGCCACGGCATTTGTCCGGTCTGGGCTGCATTGGACCTCTGGCTCTCCCCGAGGGTCTGGCCCACAGGGACTAGGGTGCTTGGGGGCCCCTGGGACAGAGGCGTCCCTCTAGGGGTCGGTCACGGGTCCATGGGTACCCACATGGTCCTGCTGGGCACAGACTCAAAGCTCTGGCTGCAGACGCGGGGACTGGGGGTCGGAGAGGGCCCCAGACGCTGCTCCGTGAGCCGCCTGGGCAGCTGGCGGATATGGCGCACTCCCCCGCTCACTGTGGGTTAGCTTGTACCCGGCCACGTGACGGGGCTCGTTCTGACGTGTCCATCTCTTCTGTGTGTACGTGTGTGTCCTGGCTGCCTCCACCTTTAGCATTTCATTCGGAAATGACACTAGGTACAGCTCACTTTTCTCTTCCGCACTCGCTTGGTCTGTCCTTTTCTGCTTTTCAATTTCCTTTCTCCCCGCGCTCTCCGCCAGTCTGGTCACCCCGCTGTCCTCACGGCCCTTCCTCTGGATCGTTGTCCTTGGTGACGTGTGTGTATGTGTGTGACAGCGGCCCTGCCCCATCCTGCTGCTTTGCCCCGTGTCCCTGGAGTGTGCCCTGGAGAGCCAGGAGGCCGCAGGCACAGGATGCACGCTGGCGCGGCCTTGCCCCTCCTGGTGGCTGTCTGCTCCCAGGCCGGGCCAGCCTTTCCGGGGGGGTCTGGCTGCACTGGGGCGTGTGCCGCTGTCTGTCCGCAGTCCGTGCTGAAGTGTATCTCAGCTGTGTCTTTGAGGATGCTTGGATGGAAACGGGGCATGGCTGGGTGCTGAGTGGTGCTGGCCGGGGCTCGCAGAGTGGCCACACTCTGGATTGAGGCAAATTCCCTGCCTCACAGAGGATCCTCAGATGGGCACCCTGCCTAAATAGGAGTCTAGGAGCTCTGCCATCGGGCGGTTGACAAGGACAGCCTGCTCCGGAGTGGAGACACTGAAGACTAACGTCCTGGCCTCCTAGGGACCGCTTATGCTGCCCTCAGAGGGCATTCTGGGCCACGGGCGTCTGCTCTGCTCACTTTCTTCTGGGGTTAGAGATGGGGATAGGGGAAGAGCCCACTGCCTGCTCAGTGCTAAATGGAGAGGAGCCTGGCTGTGGGGGGTGTATGGTGATGCCATCTGCCATGGGCCACCCCGGCTTCCACTCCAAGCATCCTCCCCCAAGGGGAGGAGGCGGGCCACAGGGTTTTGGCCAACCCGGGCAGGTTGATCCCTCCTTACTCAGACAGGACAGGAGGGGGCGGTCCCCATTCTGCCCTCTCCCCATCTCTCAGCCCTCTGTCTGCCTCCACCTCCCCTCTTCTCCCTCCCTCTCTTCCCCTTTGTTGCCATGTCCCAGCCCATGTGCCTCCCTCCCTCCCTTCCTTCTCAGCCCTCTCTGGCCCCTACTCCCATTCCTGCCTTAGCGCCAGCGCTGTGGGCTGCCCCGCCCGTCCATGCACAAGGGAAAACCCCTCCAGCCCGAGTAAGGAGGAACCTGTTCTCCACACCGCCCGGGCTGCTCTCCCTGTGGCAGCCCTCACGTCTCTGTCTGTCCGTCCATCTGCATGTCCCCAGCCCACGAGCCCAGCCTGTGGGCCGCCATGTTTTACCTTGTCTCCGCTTCCTTCCAGGACCTTCTACCAGTTCGAGGCTGCGTGGGACAGCTCCATGCACAACTCTCTCCTGCTCAACCGGGTCACCCCGTACCGAGAGAAGATCTACATGACTGTCTCAGCTTACATCGAGGTGAGAGATTCCTGAAGCTGCCGTCCCCCCAGCCGGAGCTGCTCGCCAAGGGGCAGGGAGGGTGCTCAGTGGCCCTGGACAAGCCCAGATGCCCCTATGTCTTCTCCGAGGACTTGTCAAGTCCTTGTTCCATTCCCTTACTTTCCACGTTGCCTCCCGCTCACCGCAGGGTGCGGCTTTGCCTTGGGGCTGCAGGATGGCTCCTTCCAGGCTCCACTTGGGCTGGAAACGGGCACCCCCAGAGTCTTGGGCTGCACCCTCCCTGTGAAGCACAGAGGTGGTGGGGTGGGGGAGAGGCCGAGAGCAGGGGTATTGCTGGGTGGGGGCACTATTGAGGAATAAGGAGGCTTGGGGAGGTAAAGGCACCCCCTCCCCCCTGGGCCTGAAACTCCAGCTATGATATGGGGACCCACTTGCCTGTCTCTTGGGATGCTGGTTTGTTGGGGAGACGCTGACGATCTGGCCCAGCAAGGCCCCGGTGCACACGGGCTTTGTCGGGGTGCTGTTGAGCTTCGGGAAAACAGAAGAGCCAGCTGTATGAAATGCAGCCTGTTGGCACCCGGGGAAGTCACGGAGAGGAGAACGTGGGTGCGGAGCTGGGATCTGCTTCGACCCTCACAGGCTTTTTGGGAGTGTGTTGCCTGATCCCATGGCCAGGCGGCTGGGGCCTATGTCTAGGATCCTCAGGGTCCCCGCCACCAACACCCAGCCACCTGCAGCCCAGGGAGGTGGGATCCTGGCTTTCTCCCAGGAGTCAGCTGGGGGGAGCAGAGACCTCCCGCCTGGGTCTGGCGCCATGCCAGGGGACCATGGAGGTCTGAGGCTGCCGACCAGTGGCTTGTGTGCCCCCCCAAAGATGGTTAGAGGGGGTCTGGTGCCTGGGTCCTGTGGGGATGCTCCTGTGCCTGAGCCCCTGCCCTGTGCCCCATGGCAGATGGAGAATTGCACCCAGCCAGCGGTCATCACCAAGGACTTCTGCATGGTCTTCTACTCTCGGGACGCCAAGCTGCCTGCTTCGCGCTCCATCCGCAACCTGTTTGGCAGTGGGAGCCTGCGGGCCTCGGAGAGGTGAGCCTTCGGTGGAAGTGGTGGGGGGTTGCACAGGGAGCAGCTGGGAGAGGCGAGCCTGCAGTGGGGGTGGTGGGGGGCTGCATGGGGAGTGGCTGGGAGAGGCGAGCCTGCGGGGGGGGTGGCGGGGGCTGGGGTGCTGCTGTGTGGACTCTGCATGGGGAGTGGCTGGGTGTGCCCGGCAGAGGCTCAAGTGACTGGCCCGCTGCAAACCATCCCAGATGAAAAGGTAGACCAGCCACTCTCCTAACCGTTCCCCTGCCCTGGGACCCTCTCGTGCGTGGTCCTGGGGCCCAACTCCACCCCCATGGCTTGGAGACCTCCTCCCCAGGGATCTCGGGGATCATGCCAGCAGGATGGGGGGCTGGGTTGGGAAAAGTGCACTCTGGACAGAACCTCTTGCCTCCTGGAGGCTGGCAGCTCCCAAGGGAGTAGAATGTCAGGCCCCGGACCAGCCATCCCCTCTTGCCCTCTGACCGGTCCCTGCATTCCTGGGGTATGAGGGTGATGGACAGGAACGTCAAGGCAGTGAGGGGGGGCTTTGTCCCAGAAGCGGAGACCACCACAGGTGCTAGGCCTCCTGTGCTCACCTCCTTCCCACGCTGTCTTGTGGGCCCCAGTGTGCAGGACACCCGGGGCACAGACAGGAGGGTGGAGTGTGGGGTTCAGGACTTAGTGGCCTCAGGCTGGCTATGACCCAGGCATCCGGGGGTCCCCCAGAGGGGATGGGATACTGCCTGCCGGCTGGGCCTGCCTCCACAACAAGGTTGGCAGTGTGCACGCAGCAAAATGGGGCCTAGAGGGGTCTGGGATATGGACTCCCCACCTAACCAGTCCATATGGGCTGCAGTCCAGGGACCCCATGCAAGGCCACCCAGCAGGGCATGCAGTTGGACTTGTCCCCAGTGTGCATTGGACAGGCCCTTGCTGGGCCTGGTGTCCACACGTCCTCTCTCTGCTCCCCGCAGCAACCGCGTGACGGGCGTCTATGAGCTCAGCCTGTGCCACGTGGCCGATGCAGGCAGCCCAGGTAAGCCTCTGCCCTGCTCTCTCTGACGGGGGTGGGGGCACTTTGTCAGGGAGTCGGGGTTCTCTGGGGTCACTCAGGTCACCTCAGCTAAACTGCCATTTTGGGGGGCCCTCCCTTTTGAGACTCAAGTGCTCACATTTGAACTTACGGGGTAGTCCCAAGAGGCCAGAGGACAGTGAGGGGAGAGGCAACACTGGGGGCTGGATGACTTCTGTGGGCAAGGCACTCCCAGGGGTACCAGACTCCCTCTGTGGATAAATCCCCACCCTAAGCCCAAGGCCTGGAGCCAGGGCGGGAACGTGGCCAGCCCAGGGTCCCCTTTCTAGGGATGCAGCGGCGGCGAAGGCGAGTGCTGGATACATCTGTGGCCTACGTCCGGGGCGAGGAGAACCTGGCGGGCTGGCGGCCCCGGAGCGACAGCCTCATCCTGGACCACCAATGGGAGCTGGAGAAGCTGAGCCTGCTGCAGGAGGTGAGCTCGTGCCGTGGGCACGGACAGCCCAGGCCGCAGGTGCATGTGGAAAGCAGGGTGCTGGGAGGGTGCTGTGGCAGGGGTGGACTGTCCCTCCACTCACTGTGAGCACAGATGTGGGGGACGCGGATGCCGGACGGAGGGTGGCCGGGTGGCTGGGCCGAGTCCCATCAGCAGCACAGCCCGTGGGGAGACAGTGGGTGGGCTCTCGGGTCCACATGACCCTGGGGTGCAGCAGTTGAGCCATGTCCCGCCTTCTGCAGGTGGAGAAGACCAGGCATTACCTGCTGCTGCGGGAGAAGCTGGAGACCACCCAGCGGCCCGGCCCCGAGGCACCATCCCCTGCCTCCAGTGAGGACTCTGGGTCCCACGGCTCATCCAGCGCCTCCTCCCCACTCTCTGCTGAGGGCCGGCCGTCCCCTGTGGAGGCTCCCAACGAGAGGCAGCGGGAGCTGGCCGTCAAGGTAGCTCAGGCAGCACTGCCCTGACTGTGGTCCCTGCAGGGCTCTGGGGACTCAGCCTTGTCCTATTAGGGCAGGAGCTGGGACAAGGAGGGTCCATAGAGGCCCTTTGCCTGCCCCTCACTCCACATATGTTGGAATTTGGCAGTCTTTTACAGCTTCCTCCCCCAAGCAATGATCTGCTTCCTTGAATACCTGTGCTGATGGGGAGCTCACCCCCTCTCTCCAGAGCTGGCTCTTTGGGCAGCTTGATGGGCCACTGGGAAGACCTCTTAGGCTGGGCAATGCTGTCCCCCCCCCATCTTTGCCCTGGGCCCGGGGCCTGCTCCCAGAGGCTTCCCTGGCTCACCCATCACCTTGGAGGCTGTAGCTGCTGTGTCCAGGCCTTTAGCCAGTCCTCCACATCCAGGGGCCGTGCTACGGTCGAGCCAGGTCCGGGGCACCACCCCCAACTGGACATTTGCTCTCATTACAGTGTTTACGCCTCCTCACGCACACGTTCAACAGAGAGTACACCCACAGCCACGTCTGCGTCAGCGCCAGTGAGAGCAAGGTAGGCAGCAAGGGGCTGTCCGCAGGGCTTTCGTCTCCAAGAACAGTTCTCACCCCTGTCCAGAGAAGGAAATAAGGGTTTTCTTAGAAACATACTCTCACAGCCCAAAGGAGCACCTCCTAGCCAAGGGCCTGTTCTGGTCTGTGTGTGGGGTCCATGGAGCCCTGGGGCCTTCAGGGCGAACGAGGGCTAGGCCCACCCAGGACCCTCCCTGCTGCCTCCAGCCCGGCCCTCAGCTGCCTCTGTCCTGAGTGCTCGGGCCCCAGCCTTGGAGCTGTCTTCCTCTACCAGAGGGCCACTCATGCCGCCTCACCCACCCTGGCACAGAGCCCACCATGCACAGCCCCCTTGCAGCCTGGACTTCCTGCTTTGCACTAGCCTCACCTTCTGCCTGGAAGGGCAGCTCCCTGAGGCTCCTGGATTGCCCATCCTATAGTCGGGGCTCCAAGACTGCACATTGGCAGAGCCTTCTCTGACCCCGCTGTGGTCCCTGCTCCCTCCTTGGAGTGTAGCTGTTACAAGTCCCTCCTGAGACCAGACAGAGCCCACAGCCCGGGGAAGGGCAGGCCAGGGCCTCGTGGGGCTGGGAGAGGTTCGAGGGAGGCTGGAAGGGGGTCTGGCCTGCCATTGGAGTGGGGGGCGCCCTAAATGGAGGTAAAACATGAGCTGAGGTGCAGGAATTAGCCACTGCGGGGGCATCCACACCCCGTCTGCCCCACGAAAGGCTCGCTCTCCTCCACAGCTCTCCGAGATGTCTGTCACCCTGCTCCGGGACCCGTCCATGTCACCTCTGGGCACGGCCACGCTCACGCCCTCCTCCACCTGCCCCTCTCTGGTTGAAGGGCGGTATGGAGCCGCAGAGCTGAGGTGAGTGCGGACCCTGAAGAAGTTGGCAGCGCCACAAACCCGCCAAGGATGGTATGGCTGCCGCTCTGGTGCAGAGCATGGGGACGGGGTGGGGCAACAGTGACCCGGGAGGGCCGCACACAGCTGGGCAGGGCGGGGGTGGGGGAAGGGGTCCACCCTGCGTCCTGGCCGGCACGGCCCCTAGCTGCTCTCCAATCATCTGACTCTCCCGAGGACGTTTTCTGCTAAAGCACTGATTTCCAGTGTCATGGGGACTAATGCCGGGAATGGATCAAATGGCACTAAACCAAAAACCCTTTTCAGGGGGATGGGCTCACACAGTACTCAGTAGGATAGAAGGTGAGCCCTGTGGCAGTGGCCGTAATGCCCGGCCGTCTCTCCCGCCCCCCAGCCATGCTAGCACCGCCCACACCTGAGCCCTTACATTTTATATCCCTCAAAGTGTCCACATTTCGTCCAAGCCCTCTGGCCCTCCCCGGAGATGGGCCTTCCTGGCCATGGGTCAGGCTTTTTGGACCTGGCAGGCCCCAGTGCAGAGGGCCCCTGAAGACATGACAGCCTGGGCTCCGCGGGCCATCTGGGGAGAGGGGCTGCTTTCACGAGAGCGGGGGACAGAAGGTGCCATGGGACGGGGGCAGGGCACCCTGGCGCAGCCCTGGAATCTGGTGGCCTAGGTCCTCTAGCCCCAGCTGTGGGTGTGTCTGGGTGGACAGATCCTGAGAGGTACCCACGGCATCCTGAGGGGGTGACGCGGGGGGGGGGTGGGAGGAAGCCCGGGCCAAGATGGTGGCCCGGCCCGGCCAGGGCATCTCCTTGCAGGAAGGCAGAGGCTTGGCTTTGTTTTCCCAGGACCCCTCAGCCCTGCTCCCGGCCGGCCAGCCCAGAACCTGAGCCTGTGCCAGAGGCAGATTCGAAGAAGCTTCCCTCCCCGGCTCGGGCAACAGAGGTAGACAAGGAGCCCCAGCGCCTGCTGGTTCCTGACATCCAAGAGATCCGGGTCAGGTATGTGGGGGGCCCCCAAATGGGGGCTTCTGAGGCCCCACCCAGCCAGCTCTGTCCCCACAGCTCCATGCGAGGGAGACAGGCTGGGCACCCCGACCTTGGGCGGTGGCAGAGAAAGAGCAGACAGCACAGAGAGGAGGCTGGACCAGGGCCAGGCCCGGGACAGGGGACCCGACGGGTGCCCCTGCAGAACTACGGTTTCTGTGCATCTGTGCGTCACTAGTCTGACACCTGTGCAGCTCCAAGAAGGCCACACTCTATGGGTCACGCTCACGTGACAGGGAATGACTGCTCGGGGCAGTGTCCGCTCTGTTTCACTTTCTCTGTTGTACAGATGGGGAAACTGAGGCTCAGAACTGGTGGTTCTGGTCTCCGACCTCCCAGGTTGGGGTTCTGCCAGGCATCTCCCAGCACTTCGGCCCTGGCTGTTCTTGGGGGCCCCGTCTGACCTTCCCAGTGGCCAGTACTGCCAGGGGCCTGGTGGTGGGTTGGGCGCCCACGTGGAGACCCCCCGCCCCCTGGGCCAGGAGTGCAGGAGCCAGCAGCTGTCCCTGCCCTGCAGCCCCATCGTGTCGAAGAAGGGCTACCTGCACTTCCTGGAGCCGCACACGGCAGGTTGGGCCAAGCGCTTTGTGGTCGTACGACGTCCCTATGCCTACCTATACAACAGCGACAAGGACTCTGTGGAGAGGTTTGTGCTCAACCTGTCCACAGCCCAGGTGGAGTACAGCGAGGACCAGCAGGCCATGCTCAAGGTGCGGCCCGGGAGAAAGGATGGGGGTCCGGGCAGGCTGAGGCCTGCAAGCCTCCAGCAGGGCGCGGGGGGGGGGCTGGGCCTAGTTCCCGGTGGGCCCTATTCCCGCTAGCTGCCAGACCACGGCCCTAGTGTTCTGTCTCGCACAGCATCCCTCTGCCTCTCAGCTTGGGGGTCCCCTCTGCCCACCTGTGGGGCTCCTTATCCCATGACAACCAGCCGTGATGGGCTGTGGTCCTGTGGGGACGGGGGAGCAGGCATTGATCCACTCCCATTCAGGAGAAGTCAATACCCAGTCCCCTTCTCCTGGGGCCACCCAACCCCATGGGGTAGGTCATGTAGTGGGCCTAGGAGTCTGGCCTTCCTGTCCCCTGGCTTTTCTCCTCTCTGAGTCAGCAGTGGCGCTGGATGTGTGTGCCGGGGACCTCAACCCCTTCCGCTGGCAGCCTCAGTGCCCGCTGGCTGATCTTTGATTCCCTGTGGTGGGCTTTGGGGACACAATCTCAGCCTGCCTCCCCACACTGTCCCCCACCACAACGGCTCGGCCTTTAGCAGAGGAGGCCAGGCCCAGCAGCTGAGCCATGTCAAGGGGAAGGAACCTCGTTTGTGGGAGTAAACTTGTCTTCGGGGGGCACAGAGCAGTGGCAAGGTTGCCCTGGGGCGTGCGAGAGATAGGGTGTCCTGACCGCAGACCCTTCTGTTGGGAGGCCACACCTGTCTGCGTCCGAATGGGCTGTGCAGGCCACAGAGAGTGAGACAGCCTTCCCAGCTCTCTCCTGGGGGTCTTCTCTCCTGTGTCCTGCACCCCCCCAAGCTGCTCCAGCCGGGCCCCAGGGAGCACGACCCTGCATGCTGACCGGGATGGTGGGGAGGCCTAGCGCCTTTTCACGGCCTCCTGCCTTCATAGACGCCCAACACGTTTGCCGTGTGCACGGAGCACCGCGGCATCCTGCTGCAGGCCAACAGTGACAAGGACATGCACGACTGGCTGTATGCCTTCAACCCTCTCCTGGCCGGCACCATACGGTATGGGCTCTCTCGGCAGTGCCTGCCCTGCTCCTTGGGCGTGGGAGCAGGTTTTGAGGACCTTAATGCTTGTTTGGCTGTTGCTGCTGGTAAAGTGTTGTACTGGGGGGCCGTTCTTGTGTGGCTGGAAACACAACACACGGGCTCAGGGGAACCCTGCTCCCCTACACCCCAGCCTTCCAGAAGGCGGGCGGGCTGAGTCCCAGGGACAGGAGCCGGTCTCCGGGTGAGGGGAAGCAGAGGGGATGTCAGCTACGTGGAAGCTGGCATCCCAACCGTGGCATGTCTCCCCACCCTCCCACAGGTCCAAGCTCTCCAGAAGGCGGTCTGCCCAGATGAGGGTGTGAGCCGGAGCCCTCCCGGACAGCCACAGGCCGGCCCCCCCAGCCCTCATCACCACCCGTCATGTCACCGCGCCCAGCCTGCCCCTACCAGCCAGCCAGCGAGTTCCCTCTTGGGGACCGCGTCGGGCCCCGTGAGCGCCACCTCTGGCCCTGGGACCTGCACCATACGACCTGTCCTGCTCCCAGCAGAGGCCGTGTTTGTTCTTTGGTCTTTCCAAGCGTGCCCTGGGTGGGAAGAGCTGGGAGGTGCTGGAAAGGCAGAGGGCACAAGCCACAGGGGCATCGCTGCCGTTCTAATATTTTTTTAAGCATAGACAGACTTATAATTAATATACATTAGTTAGTGACATTGAAACAGTCCACTCAGAAATTAACTATAAGACTGTGTTCTATTTATAAGTATTTATTTCTAATGCCTTCACATAGACCTGTAGGATTCAGATGGACCCTGTCCCCCGCTTGCTCCCACTCACATCCCCCAGGGCTCATAGGGAAGTCCATGGTGAACGGGTGTCCACACAGGCCAGGCGCCTCCTGGTTGGCACCATGGGGCACGCCTGGCCAGGCCCGAGCGGGGGCTTCTCCCCAGTCGCATGGGGGGGGCAGGCCTTCATCCCGGGTGGGGGGAGTGTGAGTTTCAGGGGACCTGGTGCCTGCCCCCTGAGCTGCGCGGAGGGGGGCATGCAGTCTTCCAGCAGGAGGTGGCATCCTATCACTGGGACAACGGCCTCGGAGATGCAGCTTCTCCCTGGGAGCATGTGGAGCAGAGGGAGACCAGGCAGACGGGCCCTTGGGCTGTGGGGCTCTCCCGGCCGGGACTGCAGCTGGCGTCGTGTGTCCTGGCCGCCAGGGTGCTGGTGGCTGGGGTTCAAGGTGGTCCGGGCAGTGAGGGGTTCGGGTGCCTCTTCTGCAGCTGCGGTGAGAAATGGGGTGAGCTCCAGGTCGTTCCTGGGAAGGAAGTGTGTGACCTCCCCCTTTACCCCAAGAGAAGAGTTTCTGAGAGTCCCGGGGTCAGGTGAGGGCAGCCGGCCGGCCACTGTCCTCAGGGAGGTGCTCCTGTCCTGCACCCAGGGGCTGTCCTTGCACTGTTGGGAGCTCTTGTTCCAAAATCTACTTCCTTCTCTGTGCAGACGCCACACCCGAGGCCCAGCCACAGGGCAAGGGTCAGCCCCAGGCTGAGAGTCTGGTCAGGCATCACACCCAGACCAGAAACACGTCAAAGAGACCGCAGGGCCCGGGGGTCTTCAATGACCTGTTCCCACACCCAGTTGGCCTCCTTCCAACTCAAGGAAAAACAGCAACCAAACCACAAAACCCCTGTCCTTGCCATGGCCCCCTGAGAGCAGGTTTTATTCAGAGTTCAAGGGGTTCCGGGCCCAAGTTCGCGGCCGGCCGGTCTGTCCACACTGTTCTCTGCTGTCTTTACAGGCCCTGCAGGGCGTGGCTCACAGACCCCTCACCTCTTCACCCAGTTTGGATTACCGTGTCACACCTGGTCAGGGGTTCCAAAGCCCGCCCCATCCAGCCCGGGCCATCCCCGATAGACTCCCACGTGACATGTAGACCCAGCCCCCATTCTGTGCACCGAGGCTGGGAGGGTGTATAGCTGCATTCCTTCAGGGATGTGTGGGGTCGGCTCCCACACCGGGTGAGAAGGTTCCAGTCGGGGGCGCTCCTTGGGGAAAGTTATTCAGGCCCCTTCAGCGCTGCCTCGGATGTGGGACTAGGCTAGTGGGCACCCGACCTGAGCGGCCACTGGCAGTGGGGTGTGGCCCGCCAGCCGCCCCAGCTGCCCCAGCCGCCCCAGCCCTGCCCGAAGCAGAGAGGCCAGCGTGCCTTCTCCACCCCCAGCCCCAGGCAGTGCCTCAGTGGCCCCTTTTGCTCTCTGCTCCCCCCCTCACCACCAGTGCTTGGGAGGCACCCCTGGAGTAGTAGCTACTTCACTAAGACGCGCGTCCTGGGAGGCCACATCTGCAAGGCACAGGGCTCCGTAGCCTTCCTTGGAGGCCCCGGATGAGTGCTCCCATCCCAGACTGAAATCACACGTCATCCAGAAACCAGATGTTCCCAGGCTGAGATGCAGAGAGCAGGGGTGCGGCATGGTCCAGAGCAGCACTTTTTCTGGCTTTTACGAGGGCCTGGAGGGCAGGGAGGAGGACCACAGAAGGCAGGGGCTGTGCTAAGGTGAGCTGGTTCCCAGGAGCCCCGCGTGCCCAAAGGGAGCCCGGAGGTGCTGGGTCCTGGCCACAGCCCACTCAGGTCAGCCAGCCTGCAGCCGTGGCCTTGGAGGGTCTGAGGCGCTCGCACCCAGGACGCAGGTGTCTGAGGCCAGCCAACCTGCAGAGCACCTGCCTCGTGGGGCGGGCTGAAGGAAGGGGGCCTGCGCGAGGGTTTCTGGGAACCACCCTAAATTCGGGAGCCTCCACAGCCATGGAGGTTCTTCAAGGACTGTTTAATTTTGGCCTGATGCCCCTTGGTAGTTGCTGGGAGCCCTGGCCCTGTTGTCACAGCCAGACCCTTGGAGTGCTGGGGAGAGAAATCTGAGGCAGAAAAGCTGGTCTCTTCACGTTGCCCTTGCCAGAAGCTACCCACATGTCACGTTAGGGAGCCAAGTATTTAGCAAACTGGGATGTGGGCTTCACCTCTGTGACCCCGGGGGACTGATCTGGGGGCCCCTGAGGGTCTGCCCATTGTGGGGTGCAGAGAGGAAGGTCAGACCTGACAATTCCCCACTAAGTGGGGAGAGACGGAAAATCCAGAAAGCCACGTCTCTGGGAGGTTTTTTGTTTTACCGCTTGATGCCACTCATTTTGGTTTGAGGGACAGCCATCCTCCGCGAGAGAAGCTCTCTGCCTCCTCCAGGGGAGGGTGAGCCCAGGAAGGGGGGGCGCTGGGCTCCACTGTGTCCAGGCCAGTCCCCGGGGGGTAGCTGAGAAGCTCCTGAGTTCGTTCCAAGTCATCACTCCTTCAGTGCCCGTGTCCCATTCACCCATCGCACACACACGCACACATGCTCCTGGGCCCCGGGGGGCTGCAGTGAGGGGTCCTCCCTGAGGGGCAGGTGTGGCGAACACTCGGGGAGAGTTCCTGAATGCTGCCGGTCCAGGTGTGAGCGGGGTCAAGCTGCTGGTCCTCTGTCAGCTCCCTCCCGCGCAGGACTCCAGAAGGCGCCCTCCTCTTATCCCCGGGATCAGCAGAGGCTGTGGCTTCCTGTGGGCCTGCGCTTCCTGCCGCTCGCTGTCCCCTCAGCTTCCCGTAGCTTGTACATATGTGGTTGTGGCACACCCTGGGCCCCCACGCTGTAGCCACCATCCCGATGTAACGACTCTAGTTCCCTGACGTCCTAAACCCGAGTGTTAGGCTCTAGGCTCCTGTACTGTGTGTGTGCACTTAAGATTCTGTCCAATTAAGAAATAAATGTGGCTCCTTATGCAACACCAGACCTGCGGGCCTCCACAGTGGCTTTATTTGTGTGTGAAGTCTGTTGGATGGGGCTGGAAATGGCCGCTGGGGCCAGATGTCCAGCATTGCCCAGAGACAGCACCCACTGCTCACGGTGGGGAAGCAGGGTAGGGGGGGGTGACGAGAGCCCAAGGGGTGTGAGGGACAAGATGATGTTTATCGTGAGAGCGCCCACCTGTGTCCCTTGGTCACTGGCCACACCCACCCGCGTCACTCACGCACCCTTGGGCGCGCCAGGCAGCCCCAAGCTTTCCATGTGGTCAGCATTACCCCCTACCTGGACCAGATGAAGGTATTACAAGGAGATAAAACTACGGACCATTAGGCTACATCCACATAGAAAACAAGTATTTTCAAATCTCTCACTAAATGGAAGCTAATGATGCGTAAAAAGGATAATACTGTCGTGACCAAGCAGAATTTGTCCTGAGAAGGCAAGGTTGGTTCAAAAATGAATCCGGTGAGTCATCATATTAAACAAACAAAAAATCATTCTCTCTGTGGATATAGAACAAGCAGCTGACAAAATGTAATGCCCACGGCTAACTACGCCTTTAACCAATAAGGTCGTAGAAAAGACCAATGGGACGATAAAAACGTACGTGATCAATCAGAAGAAATGAAAAGCAAGGGCACAAAGAGCAGTTGGACAAGAAGAACATAAATACTCGGATAAGAGACTTCTGTGCAAATTGGTCCTTAGCGATGCCAACTGGAAATGGACCAAACATCCTGCTTCAGTCGGGAGAGACAACAGTGGTGTTTCGATAGAGAAATGTTCCACCAAGAACTGCTGATTGGAAATCCGAGGTATTTGGACAATATCTACCTCGTCATGGGACCACACAGTACAGGGCAAATGAACGAGAACAGTTGACATCGATCGGGTTTCTGGATGAGCCGAGGAGGACCCTAGGGCGCTGCGATCGAGCACCAAGATCCAGGGTGTGGGGGGCATTTGTGAGGACCCCAGGGCCCCATTGAGTGCGACCCTGGCAAGGTTGTTCTGATCTCGGGGTGAAGGTGTTCACGTTGCGGACGGTCAGTCGCAAATCCGGGTGGGCACATAGGGAAGAGGGGCAACCACGGGTGGGCGTTTAAACTGCAAATATCAGAGCTTGTGAGGACCAGCCGTGAGCCTTCGGTCTGGCTAGGCCATCTTTGCTGATCTAAAGTGCTCTCCCGAGACCGGGGCACAGTCCTGCACGGTGAGGCAACTGGTGGCAGTGGTGGCAACACCCAAGACGGAGCTTCTTCCTTCCTTCCTTCCTGACACCGGCATTCCCTTATAGTGTGCTCGCCACAGGGGACCTGGGCTTCATGCCTGCGTGGACATCCGCTCTCGCTGGCTAAGCCGCCTCTTCCGAGAACCCACCTGCGGGAAGGTAGCTCTCAACTCAGTTGGATTTTCATTCTGTCCTCTCCCCTCTGCCTGGGACAACCGTGTGATCAATCAACTTGTCTGGAGAATGTTACTTATTGGTTCATCAGGAGACATTATTCTGTGTGCTATTGGCTTGGAAACTACCATCACTCTAAATTATAATTCCCACAGTGGTCCTGTGTTAAATAAATTATTGGCAAAGACGGAGATCTGTCTTTGAGCATAAATTTGCCTCAAAACATCCAGAACGTGGTTAAAATTCATGTGAAAATGACCTCAGTTCTTCAACAAATAAACTGCAGGATAAGAGTAAAGGGAATCTGAGGAAGAGACATCCAAGAGTCTCCTTATAGATTCTGATTTTCCTAAATGTCGAAAACATTAGGTCATCAACTCAGACTGTAGAGATCTTAGCAGCTACCATGCCTCACCCTAACGGGAAAAGCTGAATAAAACCAGAAGCAA